GGGGCCATTTGTATCAACAAAGCAGAGGTGTTCTGTGAAGGAATCACCCAGTCTTCACTTTGTCTTGTCACTGTAAGGGGGACTGCATTTTGAGCAGTGAACACAGTAGGTTAGATTGAAAGTATAAGTAAATCACTTCCTTCTTTTGGACCTCCTCTCCATTCAAAGGCAGTCCAAGGGATGCAGACCTGATTGGATTACGGTGGATGATGGATTTAGCCATTCACCAGCAGAACTGTCCGAATCAGCCACAGCATAGTAGCTCAGTGGTTAGCACTGCTGCCTCACAGTGCCAGGGACCTGGGTTTGACTCCATTCTCTTGTGACTGTTTGTGTGGAGTTTACACATTCTCCCTGTGTCTGCACGGCATTTCTCCAGGTGCTCTGGTTTCCTCCCACAGTCCAAAGATGTGTAAGTTATGTGGATTAATCATGCTAAATTGCCCAGGGATGTGCGGGTGAGATGGATTAGCCATGGGAAATGCAGGGTTATGGGAGATAGGATGGTCTTTTGATGGTCGGTGTGGACTTGATGGGCTGAATGATCTGCTTCCACACTGTAGGGATTCTATGCTCTACGAGATTTTTCTTTTGTCTGCTGAAGCTTACTCTCCTACTCCAGGATCATCCTGCTTTTATAAACCCCTCGACCATCTCCTCTACCCTCACTTCCAGCAACATGTGTGAGGATATGACAGGCTTCTTTAGAACTAAGATCACAATATCTGAATAGCTGCCTCTTCTCTTCCCTCTGGCTAAACATCCTCTGCGACTCTCCTCAGCCTAGATCTGAACTCACATCTATCTAGTGTTTGACTTCCATCTCATCTCATGTCCTCTCAGCTTGTCCATAAAACTCACTTGCTGTACCCTTCATTTTCACTTTATGATCTGTTTACTCCTCAACTTCAATATCATCAGATATTGTTAACAGGACTCTCTCCCTAAATCCTGCCTAGTCAAATCTGTCACTATCACTTCCCTGCTCAAATAAATTTAATTCCTCTGAAACAAAATGAAAATTCTGGCATTTTGCAGCAGGTCAGCCAGCACATGTGGAGACAAGTAAAGTCACAGTTCCAGGTGGTGACCTTAAATTGGAATTGAACGCTTGAAAGTGACCTTTTGCCTCATCTCCAACTCTTTTCTCTCCAAACTCCTTGGGCATATTATAGATAACACAGTGTGGAGCTGGAAGAACACAGCAGGTCAGGCAGCATCAGGGGAGCAGGAAGACTGACGTTTCTGAAGAAGGGTCCTGACCCGAGATGTCAGCCTTCCTGCTCCTCTGATGCTGCCTGACCTGCTGTGTTCCTCCAGTTCCACACTGTGTTATCTCTGACTCCAGCATCGGCAGTTCTTACTATCTCCTTGGATGTGTTGTTGTCTCCCAAACTTAATGCATATCTTCCTGGAAACTCTAGGTTTGACTGTCTCCAAACAGATTTTCATTCCTGTTACAGTCCATAAATGACAAAATGTGGAGCTGGAGGAACACAGCAGGCCAGGCAGCATCAGAGGAACAGGAAAGTTAACGTTTCAAGTCGGGACCCTTCTTCAGAAATGGGGAGGGGGAAGGGAGCTCTGAAATAAATAGAGAGGAGGGGTGGGGCTGCGGAACGTAGGTGGGATGGTGATAGGTGAATGCAGGCAGGGAGTGGTGGGCATCGGTCAGTGAGGTGGGGGGGCTGATAGGTGGCAGAGAAGACGGACAGGTTGTGTCAGGTCAAGGAGGCGGGGATGAGAGGGATGGGTTGGAAATTGAATGAGGCTGGGGATGGGAGATTTTGAAACTGGTAAAATCCACATTTAGGCGACTGGGCTGTAGGCTCCTGAGGTGGAATATGAGGTGCTGCTCCTTCAGATTGCGGGTGGCGTTATTGTGACACTGGAGGAGGCCCAGGATGGACATGTTGCCCAGGGAGTGGGAGGGGGAAGTTGAATTTTTTTCAGAAATGGGGAGGGGAAAGCATCTCCTCTGATGCTGCTTGGCTTGCCGTGTTCCTCCAGCTCCACACTGTGTTACCTCTGACTCCAGCATCAGCAGTTCTTACTATCTCCGAGACAGTCCATAAATAGCACTTTTCGCAGTTAATTGAGATGCTCTGTCACGAGTGACAAAGATGTGGATGTGCCAGTATTGGGCTGGGGTGGATAAGGTCAGAAATCACACGGCACCAGGTTATAATCCAACAGGTTCATTTGAAAACACAAGCTTACGGAGCCTTGCTCCTTTTTCAAGTGTTAGTGCCACTCTAGTCTTGGACCAACGCTTGGTTCATCTGACCTAATATCTCTTCAATCAGAACCTCACCATAAAACCCGCGGACAAGGGAGGCGCAGTTGTAGTATGGCGCACTGACCTCTACATCGCCGAGGCCAGATGCCAACTCTCCGACACCTCCTCCTACCGCCCCCTTGATCATGACCCCACCCCTGAGCACCAAACCATCATCTCCCAAACCATCCACAACCTCATCACCTCAGGTGACCTCCCACCCACGGCCTCCAACCTCATCGTTCCCCAACCCCGCACTGCCCGCTTCTATCTCCTTCCCAAAATCCGCAAACCTGAATGCCCTGGTCGACCCATTGTCTCCGCCTGCTCCTGCCCCACCGAACTGATCTCCAACTATCTGGACTCCATTTTCTCCCCCTTGGTCCAGGAACTCCCTACCTATGTCCGTGACACCACCCACGCCCTCCACCTCCTCCAGAACTTCCAATTCCCCAGTCCCCAACACTTCATCTTTACCATGGACGTCCAGTCCCTCTACACCTGCATTCCCCATACAGATGGCCTAAAGGCCCTCCACTTCTTCCTGTCCCGCAGGCCCGACCAGTCCCCTTCCACTGACACCCTCATCCGCTTAGCCGAACTCGTCCTCACCCTCAACAACTTCTCTTTCAATTCCTCCCACCTCCTACAGACAAAGGGGGTGGCCATGGGTACCCGCATGGGCCCAAGCTATGCCTGCCTCTTTGTAGGTTACGTGGAACAATCCCTCTTCCGTACCTACACCGGCCCTAAACCCCACCTCTTCCTTCGTTACATTGATGACTGTATTGGCGCCGCCTCGTGCTCCCACAAAGAGCTCGAACAGTTCATCCACTTCACCAACACCTTCCACCCCAACCTTAAGTTTACCTGGACCATCTCTAATACCTCTCTCCCCTTCCTGGACCTCTCTGTCTCCATCTCGGGCAACCACCTAGAAACCAATATTAATTTCAAGCCCACCGACTCCCACAGCTACCTAGAATACTCCTCCTCCCACCCACCTTCCTGCAAAAATGCTATCCCCTATTCCCAACTCCTTCGCCTCCGCCACAGCTGCTCCCAGGATGAGGCATTCCACTCCTGTACATCTCAGTTGTCCTCATTTTTCAAGGACCGTAACTTCCCCCCCTCAGTGGTCGAGAACGCCCTCAAACGTGTCTCCCACATCTCCCGCAACTCATCCCTCACACCCCGTCCACGCAATAAGAACCAAAAAAGAATCCCCCTCGTCCTCACATACCACCAACCTCCGGATTCCAACGCATCATCCTCCGACACTTCCGCCATCTGCAATCCGACCCCACCACCAAAGACATCTTTCCCTCCCCACCCTTATCTGCTTTCTGGAGGGATCACTCTCTCCGTGACTCCCTTGTCCGCTCCACACTCCCCTCCAGCCCCACCACACCCGGCACTTTCCCCTGCAACTGCAGGAAGTGCTACACCTGTCCCCATACCTCCTCCCTCACCCCCATCCCAGGCCCCAAGAAGACTTTCCACATCAAGCAGATGTTCACCTGCACATCTGCCAATGTGGTATACTGCATCCGCTGTACCCTTTGTGGCCTCCTCTACATCGGGGAAACCAAGCGGAGGCTCGGGGACCGCTTTGCAGAACACCTACGCTCGGTTCGCAATAAACAACTGCACCCCCCAGTCACGAACCATTTCAACTCCCCCTCCCATTCCTCAGACGACATGTCCATCCTGGGCCTTCTGCAGTGCCACAACAATGCCACCCGAAAGTTGCAGGAACAGCAACTCATATTCCGCTTGGGAACCCTGCAGCCCAATGGTATCAATGTGGATTTCACAAGCTTCAAAATCTCCCCACCCCCTACCGCATCCCAAAACCAGTCCAGCTCGTCCCCGCCTCCCTAACCTGTTCTTCCTCCCACCTATCCCCTCCTCCCACCTCAAGCCGCAACCCCATCTCCTACTGACCAACCTCATCCCGCCCCCTTGACCTGTCCGTCCTCCCTGGACTGACCTATCCCCTCCCTAACTCCCCACCTACACTCACCTTTACTGGCCCCATCCCCGCCTCTTCGACCTGTTTGTATCCTCTCCTCTATCCATCTTCTGTCCGCCTCCCACTCTCTCCCTATTTATTTCAGAACCCCCTTCCCCTTTTCTGATGAAGGGTCTGGGCCCGAAACGTCAGCCTTTCTGCTCCTATGATGCTGCTTGGGCCTGCTGTGTTCATCCAGCCCTGCACCTTGTTATCTCCGTATCTAACGTAGTTTTGTAACATTCCTGTGAAATGTTGTACTACATTAAAGACACTGTGCTGGTAAAAGTTGTTGTTATTTATGATCTCGGGGCCGAAGGGTCCTGCAATCACTTGAATCTCCCCGAGCGGCCCAAACCCTAACCAGCGAGGATTCACGACGCCTCCCGAGTCTTATCGAGCGCCCAGTGCAGCGCCGAGTCTCCCCGAGCGCTCCCGAACGACCCGGAACCGGAGCGACTGTGAATCGCCCAGAGCCCGGCGGAGTGATGCCGAATCTTCCCGAGCGACGGTGCGCGGCGCCGATTTGTCCCGAGTCCCACCGAGTGGTCCGGCGTCAACCCGAATCTCCGCGTGTAGCGCCGAATCTTCCCGAGTGACGCCGAGTCTAATCGAGCTCTCCCGAATGTCCCCGACTCTCCCTCCCTCCGAGCGGCCCCGAGAAGGTCCGAGCTGTTAGCCCGACGGCCGGACAGGCCCCGCTCCATTATGGAGTCTCACAGTCTGGAGACGGAAGGGGAGATCCTTCACAAGTCGCCGATGATCCACGGGAAGGAGCAGCTCCGGCACGGACACAAACCCCCGATTCTCCTGCCAGTGGTAAGTTTCCCGCCCCGACCCCGTGTCGTGGGCCCAGGCCTCGGGCCCTACCTTTCCCGCGGGCACTGTTGAGTTTTGGTACCGATCGGTCCAATGTTTGGGCACTGATTCCATCCTTCTCAACGCGTCCCTTCCCGGGCACCCCATCCCTAGGCACCGAGGGCAGAGCTGCACACCCCCTTCACACCCTCATCCAGGGCACTGACGGCAATGCTGCATTCCCTCCCTGGTCACTAAGAGAGCCACGACCACCCCATCCCTCGTCCGTCCAAATAAGGGCAAAGCTGCTCCCTTCCCTGGGCATCGAAGGTACAGCTACACCCCCTTCACCTCCTTCCGGGGCTCTGAGGACAGAGCTGCACACTCCCTCCCCCAGTGGGCATTGAGGACGGAGCTGCATTGCCCCCATGTGCACAGAAAACAGATCGGCAACTACCCCTTCCTCCAAACAAAGACACCAAGTGTAGAGCTGCACTCTGTCCTCCTGGATATGGGGCCAGCACTGCACCTGACTGTTCAGTACTGGACATTTAACTTGAGAGACGTCGTGGCTTGTGTCAGCTGAGCTTTGACCTCCGCCTCTTTACCTGCCTGAGTCAACTGTGTTTGTACATCTGTGCCACAGATCCTTCTTAATAGACAGTCAATGTTGACCTTACCATGATACAAATTCCAAATGGTAATGAGAAGTCTCAGTGCTGAATAGGGATATGACGAGCAATATTATCTATCAGGGAACTGCAAAGTTCCTCTGTGCCCTCCGGCAACAATGACAAAATCATCTTGTATCGATATTGCTTTATACAGTAGGCGAATATTGAATAGCTGTAACAAAAAGCAGAAATTGCTGGAGAAACTTAGCAGGTCTGGCCTCATCGATAGAGAGTAAACAGAGTTAACATTTCAAGCCCAGTGTTCTGAAGAAGGGTCATTGGACTTGAAACGTTAGCATCTAACGATAGCAAACGTTAGAAAACAGAGTTGTCAGACCTGCTGAGTTTTTCCAGCAATTTTTGTATTGGAATTCCAGCATCCACAGTTTGTTATTTTATATTGTTGAATAGCTGTGGTTCATTAACAATCCCAGTTAAACAGCAGCTGCAGGAGCCAGTACTGAGTGCTGTCTCAACCCACAATCTCAAGCAACAAGTGCAGGAAGAAATCATCCATCCTGTGAGATGGAGGCTTCTCGATCTATTGTAAGTGTCAGAGCATTGGGGTTCCTGCTGTTTTAGCTTTTATTGCTTAATTTCAAGAAGGTGGGAGCTGGGAACTGCATTTCAGTAAAGTTTGCAATGTCAGATATGGGCTCATGAACAAAATCTTGATGGTGATTCATGTTTTGTGACCCATTATATCCCTACATGTTTCAGCATTCCATGCCTTTCCTCTGACCTTGATGATTCATCTGCTCTGTAGCACCATAGTTTATTGATTGTAGTAATACTACAGATGTTCCATGCAGTCTAGTTCACAAGTGTATTTCTCTATGGAATATTGAGGCTAGAGGACTGTTCTTGGTATTTGAAGACTACAGACTGTAAGTACGTAAGATACAGGAGCAGAATTAGGCTATTTGTCCCATTGAGTCTGCACTACCATTTTATCATGGCTGATATGTTTCTCAGTGCCATTCTCCTGCCTTCTGCCTGCACCCTTGATCCACTTACTAATCTAGAACCTGTATATTTTTAACTTAAAGACACTCACTGACTTTGCTTCTACAGCATTCTGCACTTACAAGTACCACATATTCACCACCCTCTGGCTGAAGAAGTTCCTTCTCATTTCAGTTCTAAAAGGTCATACCTTCACTGCAAGGCCCTGCCCTCCGGTCCTAGTCTCTCCCACTAGTAGAAACATCATCCCCATGTCCACTCTATCCAAGCCTCTCGGTGTTCTCCGACATCCTCCGTTATCTTTCTAAACTTCCATCGACTACACCCCCAGAGTCCTCAACTGCTCCTAATGTGACAAGCCCTTCATTCTTGTGAACTTCCTCAAGACCTTCTCCAAGATCAGCACATCCTTCCTTAGATATGGGCCCAAACCTGCTCCTAATATTCCGAACGTGGTCTGACCAGAGCCTTATACGGCATCAGCAATTCATCCCTGCTCTTGTCTTCTAGCTCTCTTGAAATGAATGCTAACGTTGCATTTGCCTTTGTAAGTACCAATTGAACCTGCATGTTAACCTTAAGAAAATTCTGAATAAGGACTCCCAAGTCCCTTTCTGCTTCAGATTTCTGAATTCTTTCCCCATTTAGAAAATAGTTAATGTCCTAGTCTCTCTCCCAAAGTACATAACCTCACTTTCCCACATCGTATTCTATTTGCCATTTCTTTTCCCACTGTCCTAGCCTGTTCAAATCCTTCTGCAGCCTCCCCACTTTCTCAACACTGTCTGGCCCTCCACCTATCTTTGTGTTACCTGCAAACCTTGGAACAACGCCCTTGGCTCCTTCGCACATGTTGTTAATGTATAACTTGACTTGTTGTGGTCCCAACACTGACCCCTGTGGAACTCCACTAGTCACTGGCTGCCAACTTGAAAAAGACCCCTTTATCCCCACTCTCTGCCTTTTGCCAGTCAGCCAATCTCTATCCATGCCGGTACCTTCCCCCTAATATTATGGCTCTGATCTTAGCAGCCTCCCGTGAGGCACCTTGTCAAAGGCCTTCTAGAAATCCAAATTGATCACATCCACTGACTCTGCTCTGTCTAAATTATTCATTATATCCTCAAAGAATTCTAACAGATTTATCAGGCATAGCCTCCCTTTGACAAAGCTATGTTGACTCAGTCCTGTTTTACCATGCACTTCCAAGTATTCCGCAATCTTATCCTTAATAATAGGCTGTAAAAGTCTCCTGTAAGTTGGGGAAATGAAGTGTAGACTGGGTGACTGCTTCGCAGACCATCTATATTCTGCATGCGAAAAGGACCCTGAGCTTCCAGTTGCCTTCCACTTTAACATACCACCCTGTTCCCTGCCCAACATCTGTCTCAGGCTTGCTGTAGTGTTTCAGCGAAGCTCAACGCAAGCTGGAAAATCAACACCTCAGTTTCTGCTTGGGGACCCTGCAGCCCTCTGGACTCAATATCGAATTCACTAATTTTAGGGCCTAAACTCTCCCATGTCCTAGCCCCCTACCCCACACACCAGACCTTGTTATCACATAGTCTGCCATTACACACTACCTATTGTTAGCCACTGACGGTCCCCACTAACAGCTGTTCACTCTCCTAGGCAGATTGTTATCGACTCCTTTGTCTACCCAACTGCTCTTCTCTCTCTTTGGGCTGTATCATCATCTATCATTTACTCCTTACCTCCTCCTCCACCCTATCTTCTGCATAGCTACCATCAGTTCTGAGAAAGGGTCACTGGACCCTAAACGTTAATTCTGATTTTTCTTCACTGATGCTGCTAGACCTGCTGAGCTTTTCCAGCAACTTCTGTTTTATTTTTCCTGATTTATAGCATCTGCAGTTTTTTCTGTTTTTATTTCACACATTGGAAGCTTTTTCTGTTGGTTTTATGCTGTCCCTGATTTCCCTTATCAGCCAAGGTTGCCTCATCTTCCCTGGAGTATGTTTCTTCTTCCTTGGGATAAATTTCTGCTATGCCTCTGAAACTACCCCCAGAAATTTCTGCCATTGCTGCTCCACTGTCTTCCCTGCTAGGCTCCCCTTCCAATTAACTCTGGCCAATTCTTCCGTGATGTTTTTGTAGTTATCTGTACTCAGTTATAATACCGTTAAATCTGATTCCACCTTCTCCCTCTCAAACTGCAGGGGGAATTCTATCAAATTGTGGTCACTGCCTCCTAGTGGGTACCTTCACCTACAGCTCCCTAATCAAGTCTGCCTCACTACACATCACTAAATACAGAATTGCCAGTTCTCAGGGGGCCCTACCACAAGATGCTCCAAAAAGACCAGGTCGTACACATTCCACAAATTTCTTTTGTTGGGATCTACTGCCAGCCTGATTTCCCGAGTCGAACTGCATGTTGAAGTTCCACATGATTATTGTAATGCTGCCTTTCTTTGCTGGTGCTTTTCTATCTCCTGATTTATTTTCTATCTCACATCCTCACTACTGCTAGGGCGTCTGTACATAATTCCCAGCAGGTCTGTTTGTCCTTTGTGGTTCCTCAACTCTACCCACACAAATTCCATGCCTTCTAACTGAAATAACTCCACAAAGGCTGGTATCCCATCACCAAGTCACCCTTTATTTATACGTGCATAGTACATGACACTGAGCCTGCTTGCACCAAGCCAGCTCCTAGAGTGAGCAAAACCCTTGACTTCCTTGTTTATATCTGTCAGCCAGGACTCCCTGATTGGACCAGGTTTACAACCCCAATAAAGGAACTCACATTCTGTGAGATCCACCTGACTGACCTCGTTCCAATTACTACAACCCTCCCCCTCTAAGTCCTGGGATAGGCCCATTCTTTTTCCTGTAGCTTCACATGGAGTGATTTTGCACCTGACCCAGTTCCTCTGACTGTGCCTCGGATATGGGTGCTGTGTGCTGGACTGTAGCCCACCTCTTGCCCTCAGAGCATCTCGGCGGAAACATACCTTCTTCAGGAGGCGATGGCATTGAGGATATGACATCTGCCATGTCCATCTCATCTTAGGAGGTTTCTTGGACCCTCGATGGAGGGAGAGAACCCATGGGTTCCAACAGCCTTGGCATATGTTCTGAGGGGCAGAGTGTGTTTTGCTCCTTCTCTGTTTGCAAGTTTGAAGCTTTCGTGTGGTCCATGTTCTTGTTCAGGATCGCCCCCCCCACCTGAATTTTTTATGTCATGGGACCTCACCATGTGTTGATCATGCCTTTTGTCCATGGAGAGTCATTCCAGTGGTTTCGACACCAAACTTCGTCCCCTGAAGTAACCTGCCTGTTCTGCTTAGGAGAGCCTTTTGTGCAGCGTTCCTGATGCCATTTGAATGCCCTTCCCAGCACCTCCCCAACGCGTACACACATACGCGCACGCACGCACGCACACACACACCTCCAGATTACCGGCCCCAATCCGGGAATGCATTCTATGATACCTGGCTGATATTATTCCAATCACAACACCAACCTGATATTGTTTCTTGCAGTTTAGTTAGTCATTTCTTACTAAGAAGGTTTCCCTGCTTCACCCCCGCATATTTGCCTGTCCTTTTGATAGGACATGTATCCTTGGTTATTTAGTCCCTAGCCCTGATGCCCATAACATTGTAGCTGCCAATTTCTGTCTGCGCTACAAGCACATTTACCTTGTTTTGTACACTGCATGCATTTAAGCACAAAACCCTCAGACCTGCATAGACGCACCCCACCACTCCCCTCCTCTCATAGTTGTCCCCATATATGATGTGTCTGAAATTAGATTCCTGACCCTTTCTACACTCTCTGTCCTGTTACTTATTCTGGAAATTTTAATAACCTCTCCTGAGCTCTCAGGACATAGTTAAGAGCTGAGGCTCCTCCAATGCTAAATTCATGACACTGCTACTGCCTCACTTGTAGTGACACCCTCCCACCCCTGACCACCAGCAAAATTTGAAATACTTAACCTACAAGGTATGACTGCCTCCAGAAACACAGCACCCAGGTAACTCTTTCCCTCCCTGGTGTGTTGCAGTATTCAAACCTCAGACTCCAGCTCATCAACTCTGAGCTGGAGTAACTCGAGAGCCAAAACTTGCTACAAATGTTATGTCTTACCAGCCTTGCATGTTGTATCTCTATGCAGGGCTTGTGTGTCCAACCTCGCCCAATGTGTTGCATCAAACTGATCAAGCTAGCAACTGATTAACAAAGCTCCTTGTATTTTGGGAGGAATTGTTTGATGATTTGACTGCATTATCAGATTGGCGTGATGAACTGTGGCTTGTGAGGTGATATTTAATTCCTAGTGTCTTGGCTGCCAGGACAAGTACAACTTCTTCAAATTGTGCAGACGCTAATTGTGAACTGTTGACTGTTACTCAGATGTCCAGTAGTCCACATATTTTCTTCAGTTTTCTCAGAATGCTGTATGCAGTAGCTGCTGTGAAATGACTGTTGGAAGCAAACATGATCTGCAGGCCATGGTTACATACATCTCGAAGGTCAGCACCAACCCTTGCCTAAGCTCAAGCCACAATTCCAAACTGTAATAGTGGTTCCTGACTTGGAGGACTGGACCAAATCTTTGCAAACTGTTGTTAAAGTCCTGGCTGGGTGTCACAGACTCTGAACACTCACTCACTCGCTCCCTCACCCACACACCCACCCTCCTTCACACTCACAAGTCTCTCTGGCAGTCTCATTCAACTCTCAATCACACTCATTCGCTTAGTTTGATGAAGATCCATTTCAGTATGTACAACATCCCAGCTGTCACCTTGGGCTTCAAGTACGTTGTGTGAATCACAATCACTAGATACTCGGTCTGTGTGTATTGCATTCCTGTTAACGCTATGCTATTAATGCATAGGTGACTAGCTCATTCTGCACCTGCGCTGCTTCAAGTCTAGATTGAGATGCCTTGCTTTGGAGATTGGCTTCAGAAATTGGGATAAACATTGGAACTGTCTTCCACAAATGGTGATTGATGGAAGATGAATTGCTAAATTTAAATCCGAGATTGTTAGGGTTTTGGTTTCCTGCAAGTGTTATATAATAAAGAACAAAAGAGAGCCTCTAGAGTTAAGTCATAGATCAGTAATGATCTCATTGGATGCTGGAACAGGCGGTAGGTGCTAAATGGCTGTCTCTTGTTCCAGTGTTCTTACCTCTTACCTCAATCCATGTGTTGCATCACAGTGTTTGTTGCATCAATAATGAAGAGTTTCTAGGTGTTATAGACTTAAGTTGCACCTTCAGATGTCTCTCTAAACACAACTGTTGTAAACCCATCTGCAATGACCTCTAACCCCTACAGTCCTTCCACAGGCCATACATTTTCCACTGGAAAACTTCTGTTGTTGAGCTGATCACAAATGAGGCATATTTCTGACAAGGCCTTTCCCAAGAAATGTGGAATGTCAGTAGATATGAAATGGTTCTCTGAGATGAACTTGCCAATATCCCATTGTAGACATGGAGGATCGTGAAAATGTTAACACTGCGTAGATATGTAGTTGCAATAGTCAGCAGAGCAGAATGCTCCACTTCACAGTTTTGTTTTAGTCTTTAGGATCTCTGGAGGTGTATAATTGACTTGTTCTTCTTTGTTACAACTACCATTTTGAACTGACCCAAGGAGTTAGTGCTGTTACAGGAACAATGATGTCCTGTCTGACCATTCAGGGTTTCCTTCAGCTTAACCATTAAGATAACTGGCACACAATTAGGGTATATTGGACTGAAGTTATTATCTCAGTTATATTATCTCAGGCCTGAGGAAGGGTCACTGGACCCAAAACGTTAACTCTGATTTTTCTTCACAGATGCTACCAGACCTGCTGAGCTTTTCCAGCAACTTCTGTTTTTATCTTGTTGAGCCTGATTTGAAATTTTCCATCAGCTTGTTCTACACGATTGCTGAATATCTGAGAATGTTCCATGTTAAACATCCCTCACTCAGTGTTGTGTAGTTGGTGAGTGGCTGCATAAGTGCACCAGTAGAGGGTGTTCTAAATCTTTCAATATGATCATTTTGCTGGATGACATCCTTTCCCATACTGAATTTTCTACCAGTATCAGTGCGCAACATTCCAGATTCTGCCAAACAAAATCACCACTTGACACTGAGCTTCATATTTGGCTTCTATCTAGATCTCTTGAAATGCCATGAGCTCCAATCTCAATTTCAATCTTTAATAGGTTTAACTTTCACGTTACCTTTTCATATTGGTGAAGCAGAATCAGGTATCGTGTGTAGTGCCCCAGCTTCTCAACCAGAAGTTCTTGGTTTAAGTCCCACTCCAGGACTTGATGGCCATGGAAGCTATGTTTATAAAATGGTCAAACAGGTCGATTATCAATTTGTAAATCTTTCCAATGAGCCTACTGGCAAGTCCTAAAAGAGGAGAGAGTCCTGAAAACTATAGTGCAGAAGGCAGCAGTAAACCACAGCAGTACCTGGCCAAACCTAAAGATGTACCAGAGCCCATAGTTGCCAACAAACTTTAGGGCATAGCACTGAAGAAGGCAAGGGAATAGCACATGACAGAATCAGGAATAGAAGGATATATTGATAAAGTTGGGGTGAAATATAGTGGGAGGAGTCTCATTTGGCACATGAACGTCAACGTAGACCATTTGGACTGATTGATTTGTTTGTGGCCTGTAGGCTCGATCAAGCACCATGTAAAACAAGGATGGAAATCTTGCATGGTTGTCATTACACTACCCTGAAATCCTAAAGTTGAACTCTTGCCTCTCAATAATTTTAATAGAAAGCCTTAAAAAAGCAATTTGGGATTGTAAGCAGGCTGAATCTTTTGCTGGTTATTGATAGGATGTATTTCTCGTTATGATTAGTGGCACTGTCATAAGGTCAGACATTGACCAGAACATAAGGTTTTAGTGAAGCCTTGGGATGTGAATCATGTTTAAATTAATTGTTGCTATGTGTGTTTTTACCCTGATTAGTCCACAAGCAATCACTCTCCAGAGACATCACTATCTCCTATTGACACCTTGAATTCTCTGTCCAACTTTGAAGCTGAAATGGACCATGATGGACAGGGGACTTATTCTCTTTTCCCGGCACTGGATAATGTGACGATTTTGTCAGGAACCAGTGAAGCACTGGAAAGGTAAATTTTGCTGTGAGTTCAGTGCTGTCATGTTTCAGTCAATACTTGAGGATATCTGACTATACTTGGGTTATAAAATGCTAACTAGCTTGAACGATTCAGTTGAGGATATTATTGTGGTGGAATTTCTTGTGCTTCTCAATCACCCTTTGTACTTTGCTTTTATTTTTGGTCTTGATCAATATTTACCCTTGAATCTGCGTTGGTAACCTAGAATATCCGCTGGTTTTTCACGTTAAAGTTTGTGGGAGATTGTTGTATGCAACTTGAGTGCCAAGTGCATCTACATTACAACAGTGTCACAAGTCTCAAGTTTCCGATTCTCTGTAAAGCACTTTGGGATATCCTGCAAATTCGTTCATTTACAATGTTCCCAAGTCCTCCTTAGGTCACAGGATCTTGTAGACGTCAACTACCCTACAGAATTGAGGAATAAAAGATGAAAACGGGATTTGAAACCTGAAGGCAAATATTGAGGACAAAAAAATTGTTTTCTAGAGAGTTTGGGAGCCCAAAATTGTCGATTTCTTGTTTACCAAGATTTAGTGTAATTTCCAGCAGATCCACTATCTTTTGCTCATAGATTCATACAGCACAGAAGCAGACCCTTCAGCCCAACTTGTCCATGCCGACCAAGTTTCCTAAAGTGAACTAGTCCCATTTGCTTGCATTTGGACCATAACCCTCAAAACCTTTCCTATCCATGTACCTGTCTACTAATCTTTCAGATGTTGTAATTGTGCTGGCCTTCACCACTTCCTCTGGCAGCTCGTTCCATACACACCACCCTCTGAGTGGAAAAAGTTGCCCCTTTTAAATCTTTCCCCTCTCGCCTTAAACCTATGCCCTCTAGTTTTCGACCCCCATACTCTGGGGAAAAGACCTTGGCAATTAATCTTATCTATGCCTGTCATGATTTTATAAACCTCTATAAGGTCACTCCTCCGTCTCCTATGTGCTAGGGAAAAAGAGTCCCAGCCTATCCAGCATCTCCTTATAACTCAAACCCTCCAGTCTCGGTAACATCTTTGTCAATCTTTTTTCATCCTTTCCAGTGTAACAACATCCATCCTATAGCAGGGTGACCAGAATTGTACACAGTACTCCAAATGTGGCCTTACCAATGTCTTATAACATGACGTCTCAACTCCAGTACTCATTGCTCTGACCAAAGAAGGCAAGCGTGCTAGACTCCTTCTTCACCACCCTGTCTACCTGTGATGCCGCTTTCAAGAAACTAGGTACCCTTTATCTGTCTGTTCCACAGCATTCCCCAGGCCCTATCATTAACTGTGTACGTCCTATCCTGGTTTATCTTACTAAAGTTCAACACCCCGCGTTTATCTAAACTAAACTCCATCTGCTATTGCTCGGCCCACTGGCCCAGTTAATATCCTGTTGTACTCTTAGAATATCTTCTTCACTGTCCATCACACCAATTTTGGTGTCATCCACGAACTTTCTAATCATGCCTCCTATATTCTCATCCAAATTGTTTATATAAATGATGAACAATAGTGGACCCAGAACCACTCCTTGTGGCAAGCTGCTTGCCACAGGCTTCTAGTCTGAACGACAACCCTCTACCACCACCCTCTGTCTCCTACTGTAAAGCCAATTTTGTATCCAATTGGGTAGCTATGCCTTGATCCCACTTGATCGAACCTTACTAACCAGCTTACCATGCAGAATCATGCTGAGGACTCGCTAAAGTCCACATAGACAACATGTACTGAAATGCCTTCATCTATTTTCTTGGACACCTCTTCAAAAAACTCAATCAAGTTTGTGAGACATGATTTCCCATGCACAACTCTATGCTGAGTAGAGACTGAGTAGATTGGGATTATATTCATTGGAATTCAGAAGATTGAGGGGGGATCTTATAGAAACATAAAATTATGAAAGGAATAGATAAGATAGAAGTAGAGACGATGTTTCCACTAGCGGGTGAAGCTAGGACAAGAGGGCATAGCCTCAAGATTAGACGGAGCAGATTTAGGACTGAACTGAGAAGGAATTTCTTCACCCAGAGGGTTGTTAATCTATGGAATTCCTTGCCCAGTGAAGTAGTTGACGCTACTTTAGCAAATGCTTTTTAAAAAAAAGGTAGATTTTTTTTGAACAATAAAGGAATTAAGGGATACGGTGAGAACGCGGGTAAGTGGATCTGAGTCCACGAAAGGATCAGCCATGATCTTATTGAATGGCGGAGCAGGCTCGAAGGGCCAGACGGCCTACTCCTGCTCCTAGTTCTTGTGTTCTTGTGTTCTGACTATCGTAATCAGTCCTTGCCTTTCCAAATACATGGACATCCTGTCTCTCAGAATCCCCTCCAACAACTTACCCTCCACTGATGTCAGACTCACTGGTCTGTAGTTCCATGGCTTTTCCTTGCAGCCTTTCTTAAATAATGGAACCGCGTTAGCCACTCTCCAGTCTTCTGGTACCTCACCTGTGGCTATCAATGATACAAATATCTCTGCTTGGGACACTGAAATTCCTTCCCTAGCTTCCTCCAATGTCTTGGGATACACTTGATCAGGTCATGGAGATTTATCTGTCTTAATGTGTATCAAAACCTCCAGCATCTCCTCTTCTGCAATGTAGACTGTTTTCAAGATATTTATTTTCCCAAGTTCCATGTCTTTCTCCACAGTAAATACTGACATGGAATATTCATTTAGGGGCTCGCCCATCTTGGTCTGTTACAAATCGCTTCCCATTTACAGACTATTTCCTTATGTATATATTATATAAATATAGTATATTGATTACTGTTGTATTCTCATTCTTCCTCTGTCTGACCTATTTACCTCTACATTCCTGTCTCAGCTTACTGCATTTGGCTTGGTTGCTGTTTGCACAACTGACCTAACATGCATTACATGTGGTCTTTTTTCCCTTCAGCTTGCATTAAAACCTGTCACATTTCCTTTTTGGACATTGAATCATTTCAGGCAGAGAAGACCATATGTTTAGTCCTTAGTTGATTCATAGTTAGTTGACTAGGTTAGCTACTATTGAATGCACAATAGAATCGTAGAATGGTTACAGTATAGAAAGAGGCCATTCAGTCTCTCATTTGTGCTAACACGCTGTGTAAGAGTGACCCCCTAGTCTAGTACCCCCTTAATCTCCCTCTACCTTTTAGCATGACCATGCAAAGACACTAGCTTTATGAAATTCTTGCTTGCCCTTTGGGGATATGAAAGTTCTCTTCGAATCCTGTGATTGCTATTTTAGGTATTCAATACCCTTGCTTATAAAATCCAGGATCCCATATTAAGTTTATTAACTGATTTCTCAGCCTGTCCTGTGCCTTTAATGATTTGAAGTCATTTATTCATTTTGCAGTTTCACCTCCCTTAATTTTGCATCTTTCATTTGATATTTTCTCTCCTTGTTCTTCATGAACACTTCAAACATCTCTGCATTAAGTTTCATCTTCCCCTTATTTGTCAGTTCCACCATTTGTGTGTGGTAGGAAAGGGTGGGATGTGTGGACCTTCACTGAGTAGACTTCACACACGACTTAATAAAATAAGAATAATTTTACAACAGATTTTGAAAACATTACCTTTATGTTAGCATTTAAAAATTTTATGGTTGTATTTGTGAACAACATTGCCGCTAGGTGGAGCAATATGCACCCTACACAGAAACAGACCATTGAAGCACTAAGCTAAGTGACTGAGCTGCAGATTCTGTCACAAAGAAGGAGCTGCCCGTATATTCACAGAGCTATTGGGAGGACTGGAATGAGTAAACTGCTCGCCAACATCTGAAAACAGACATTACAAGTGATGGAATGGAGGCCTGAGACTTTGGGTTGTGTTTTTGTGCTGGTTTAGGAACTCCCAAATGATGTTGGGAATTTTAAAATTGCTGATGCCATGTTGCATTGATGTCAATACACAGTGGCGCACTGGCACGCACTGGTTGAACTGAGGTTCTCATCAACATCATGGTGGTTGTCCACACTTTTGCATGAAACTGAGCATTTGCAGATGGATCTCGGAAACCATCTTGAATGGCTGCCTGTGGTGGCTGCACATATTTTGGAATTATGTACTGAATGTGACTATGTTGTTTTATTGCTGTTGTTCTTGTTGGCTTCTCCGGTCACATTAATTTTCAACTATTAGTATGGAGTCAGATTGGAAAACAGTTTGGGAAGCACTGAACTATAGTCTGTTGTTCACTCCTTGCCATTCATTTTTATACTTGATGACTTGGTGATCGGTTATCATCACTTTCAGTACATGGCTCATTTTAGTGAAAGACAATATAATGAAAAGTATTATATTTTCTATTTCTCCCCACTAGTGAACCAACAGCCGATGTAAATGACAAACCAAACATGACGTGGTTGGATGCTGCACAGGTATGCACTGTTATTCACTCAGCGTTATAGCCTGTGGTATAAATTACCTTTTATGTTGAGAATGATTGAATCACGGATGTGACACTGATATTTACCTCGTATTGGGGAAGATTGCCAAAATTGTCCGATTCACAAAGGTCATTTATCTCCCTTTCAGCCTCCCACTTATCATCAGTAAAGTTATGAGTCTGTTTTGGGAACCATCAATGGTTGTTATGGGTCACATTGACCCAAGGCGTGATTTGTTAGAGGCTCCCATGTTCAGCACTCCCGTGTGCTCGTTGACTCATTGATCAGAGTATTCACATACCAGCTGCAACACTCAGCCCCCCACCCCAGATACTTTCAGACTCATTCCACTGAGTAACCATGCACCAGTTATTTTGCACCCTGTGCACTACTAGAGTCATCTCTGTTGATTGGAATATCTACACATCAGACCCCACATTCATTCCTCATGAGTACTCTCAGAATCATTCCTTTGCTGATCTGAATACCTACACATCATCCTTTTGAATCGTAAAATCCCTACAATATGGAAGCAGGCTTTTTGGTCCATCGAGTCCAAACCGACCCTCCAAAGAGCATCCCACCTAGACCTACACTATCCCTGTAACCCTGTATTCCCCTTGGCTGATCCACCTAGCCTGCACACATCCCTGGACACTATGGGCAATTTAGCATGACCAGTTCACCAAACCTGCACATCTTTGGACTATGGGAGGAAACCAGAGCACCCAGAGAAAACCCATGCAGACACATGGAGAATGTGCAAACTCCACACAGTGACCCGAGGCTGGAATTGAACCCGAGCCCCTGGCGTTGTGAGGCAGCAGTGCTAACCACTGTGCCGCTGCTTGTATTTCTCCAGTGTGGTCATGTGCCTCATTTTCACTTGCACAATTATGATCCATAGTCCCGTACTCCTTTCCAGCATCAATTTCCTGCCCAGCCCTCTGCGTCTTTTCAAACTTGTACATATTTCCGGCACAGAATGGCTACTGTTTCAGTCTGTACATTAGGCTTGTACAAAAAAACCGAAGAATTAAAAACTGAATATGTCACTGCAGAAAGTGTATTAGAGTCCTGTTGCAGGATATGCATGAGAGCCTCTGTAAGGATGGCAAATTTCCTTCCCTAAATGACAACAGTGAACCAGATGATTTTTTTGAAAATCCAGTGATCATTACTGACATTAGCTTTTATTTCCAAAATTATTAATTAGTTGAACTTATAGTTCACCAGATGTTGTGCTAGAATTTGAACTCATCTCCAGAGCATGATGATTGGATCTCTGGATTGCTAGTCCAGCAACCTTACCACTCCATAGTTGCTAGTACAGAAGATCAATGCCTGGAACTAGCTTCTTCTTTAGCCAAGCTGTTTAAGTTCAGACTTTGCAATTGAGGATTTTCCATGTATCTCATAGCTATCTAGAACAACACAAGCCTATACCACCAATTATTGTTCTTACAGGTTCCTCTTTCTCTTCAGGAAATAGGAAGAGCAATTAATGGTGCTGTCCAGCAACACTGACTAAGCATTAGTCTGATCACAGATGCTAGGAGAGTGTTCCATTAGAATCACATTGCTCCAGATCTCATCAGAACCTTGATCATGACATCAGCACAAAAAATTGAATGTCAGAGGCAGTGGTAACAGCTTTCCTTGACTTCAAAACAACATTCTATTAACTGTAACACTAACCACGTGGGATTGGAGATTGGGGCAAAATAAAGGGTGTTTTCCAGCAACGTCAATGCAGGGGATCAGACTCCGAGTTTCCTGCTGATTCAGTGTGTCTGAAACAGGAATGTTCCATTGCAAGCATTGGCAGCCTACCAGTAATACAGCATTTCCCAAAAATCTTTCTCAGATTGTATTGTAAACTTCAACTCTAAACTTCACATGTCCTTTTCAGTACTGCCATCTGAATTAGGAATCATGTGACTCAGCTGCTGAAAACAGCTCCCGTGTTTTGTTACAGATTGTTCTGGAAGAGGCTGGGAGGCCGCTGCACATTAAAGAAATCAAGCAGAGGATACTGGACCGAGGACTTGTGCAGTCAAAGTAAGCTGGCTTTCAGTGTAAAACCTTAACAGAACAGGCAAACCTGAACTAGGTGCAGTGGGATGCAGAGTGCTTATAGAGAAGGCTGGTTGTTGGTTAGCCATCTCATTTCTTGTTATTCCTGTCTGCACAAAATGTTTTTTCTATTCATCCAATTTCCTGTTAATAGAATGGTAGAACTCTTCCGATAAGTTGTTCAATTAATATCATGCCCCTGCTTGTTCCTCATAGACCTGCAGGTGCACTCACTGCCATGCTGACCAGAAGATCTGGCCTAGAGGATCTAGAATCATATACAGTACAGAAGAGACAATTTGTGCCTTTGAGCCTGTGTCAGCTTTCTGTACGGCAGTCAAGTCAGTTCCTTTTCTCCTTACCCTCACCAATTTCCCATCCAATTTCCTTTCGACATAGTTGTTTTCCTCTATTTCCACCATCATGAGTCCGTTCCAGATCATTGCCATTTGCTCTGTAAAATGGTTCTACTCTCAATACCTGCTTCTTCTCTTGCCTAGACTCTTAAATCCATGTCAACTTGTTCCTCCTGTGAGTAGCTTGTGGGAACACAATTTCATTGACTGTCTTATCGAACACCATCTGATTACTCCTTCCTTTGCTCTAAGTGGAACAACCTTAGCTCCTTCAATCTGATCTTGTAGCAAAAATTTTCCATCTCTGGCACCTTGCTAATAAATCTCCTGCACACTGTCAAATATTCCACATCCTTCCTAAAGTGTGGTGACCAGACTGAGATACAGTTCTCTAACTGTGGTTTAACCAGACCTTTATGCAGGCCAACTTAACTTGCCTACTTTTATACTTGGTGCTTCTATTTCTGAAGCGCACATGCTTTGCCAATGACCCTGTCAATATGCTCTGTCACTTCCAAAGCTCTATGCACATACAACCCAGGAGGTCTCTCTATCTATGCACTCTTCTTAACAGTCTGCTATTTAGTCAAGTTGTCACTCCTATCCCTTCTGGCAAATCTCATCACCTCACTGGGCAAAGCATTAGGTTCCACCCACCCAGTCTGTAAGCCTATTCATGTCCTCTTCCAATTGATTTTTGTCATACAACATGTTGCTGTGTATTTCAATGTCCGAGTCCTTTTTGTTGAGTAGAGGCAATGGTGTAGTGGTACTAGTAACTGACATCTCTGCTCAGAAGCCCAGGCTAAAGTTCTGGAGACATGGACTTGAATTCCTTTGTGGCAGATGGTAAAATGTGAATTCAATAAAATCTGGAATTAAAAGCTAGTCTTATGGTGACCATGTAATCATTGTTGATTGTCATTAAAATAATCTGGTTCATTAATGTCCTTTAGGGAAAGAAATCTGCATTCTATACCCCGTCTGGAGTACACGTAAATCCAGACCCGCAGTAATAGATATTTTGTCAACCATTTTCTTAAACTCACTGGTCTGTAGTTACTAGGTCTGTCCTTGCATCCTTTCTTGAATTAAGAATATTACATATGACATTCTCCATCCTCTGTCACCTCCCCTGTATTATGGAAAGATTGGATGATTATGGTAAGCCCTTCCCTGGTCTCTTCTCCCATTTACTACAGGAATCTGGGATCTAGACCATGAAATTTTGTTTACTCTAAACAATAGTCAGCTTTCCCAGTGGCTCTTGCCTGTCAATGTTAAGACTGTCCATCAATTTTACACATATTTTATCGGTATCCTACAATTTAATGAATACTTTATGTTGGTTTTTACTAAATATGATGGCCTTGTCATATGCCTCTGATAAAATATCATTCATATTTGTACCTAATAGATTTCCCTCCAACTCTTACTTCCTTTTTCCAATTGCATGCTACTGACAAGATTTGTGCATTCCCTTTTACATTGATTGCCACTCTATTCTTGTATTCTGTCTCTCAAACTTTATTGTCCTTCAGTTTCCATCTTAAACTTATATATTTGACCTGATTCTGATTCTCACTTGAAGAATTCATGCACCAAACATCCTGTTTTTCTTGTTTCATCATAATCTCTAGCTCCATTGTCATCCATACGTGCCTGGCTTTGGTCGCACTGGTTTCACCCTTTTTGGACTGTATCTAGTCTGTATCAAGTTGTCTCCTCCTTTAAAGATCATTTCTTGTTCCATTAAAGCTTTTTCAGTTAGTCGTTGGTTAGTCATAGAGTCCTACAGCACGGAGACAGGCCCTTCGGCCTAAACAGGTCCATGTCGACCAAAAAGTCCATGTACACTAACCCCACTTCCCTGCACTTGCCCATATCCTTCTAAACCTTTTCTATCCATGTATTTGTCTGAATGCTTTTTAATTGTTGTTAATGTACCTGCCTCAACCACTTCTGCTGACAGCTCATTCCATATGCGTACCACCCTCTGTGTAAAAACATTGCCCCGCAGGTTCCTATGTGTTCTTTCCCCTCTTAGCTTAAACTGATGCCCTCTAGTCCTCGATTCCCCAATTCTGGGAAAAAGACGAAGTCCATTCACCCTATCTGTGCCTCACATGATATTATACACTTTCGTTAGATCCCCCCTCAGTCTCTTAGGTTCTAAAGAAAAAAGTCCTAGCTTGTCGAACCTCTCCCTATAATTCAGTCCCTTGGGTCCTGGCAACATCCTTGTAAATTTCTTCTGTACTCTTTCCAATTTAATAACATCCTTCCTATAGCAAGGTGACCAAACCTGAACACAAAACTCCTAGTGCATCCTCACCAATGTCCTGTGCAACTGCAGCATAACTTCCCAACTTCTATGCTCAGTGCTCTGACTGATGAAGGCCAATGTACCAAAAGCCTTCTTCACTGTCCTGTCTACCTGTGACTCCACTTTTAGAGAACCATGCACCTGAACTGCAAGGTCCCTCTGTTTCACTACACTCCTTAAGGCCCTACCATTCACCATGAAACTCCTACCTTGATTTGACTTGCCACAATGCAGCACCTCACACTTACTATAATAAACTCCTTTAGCCATTTCTCGGCCCATTTCCCCAGCTGATCAAGATCTTGCTGCAATTTCTGATAACCTTCCTCATTGTCCACAATACCGCTTGTAAGTTGTCCTCCGCAAACTTACTAGACATACCTTGTACATTCTCATCCAAATCATTGATATAGATAACAAACAGCAATAGGCCCAGCACCGACTCCTGAGGCACACCACTACTCACAGGCCTCCAGTCCAACAAGTATCCTTCCACTGTTACTCTCTGCTTCCTACCATCAAGCCAGTTGTGTATCCAATTTGCCAGCTGTCCCTGGATTCCATGCGATCTAACCTTCCAGAACAGCCTACCATGTGGTGCCTTACTGAAATCCATATAGACTATCTACCGCGCTGTCCTCATCAATCTTCTTGGTCACTTCGTCAGAGACCTCTAAAAAGTTTGTGGGGTATGACTTCCCATGCAAGAAGTCATGCTGACTACACCTAATCAAACCCTGTCTTTCTAAATGCATGCATATCTTATCCCTGACAATCTTCTCAAATAACTTGCATTCCACAGATTTTCGGCTTGCTGGTCTATAATTCCCAGGTTTTTCTTTGCAGCCCTTCTTGAATAAGGGCACCACGTTCGCCACCCTCCAGTCTTCCAGGACCTCACCCATGGCTAGTGATGATGCAAATACCTCAGCCAGGGCCCCCGCATTTTCTTCTGTAGTCTCTGGCAGGGTTCTTGGATATATCTGATTAGGATCAGGAGATTTATCCACCTTCATAGATTCCAATACTTCCAACACCTGTATTGTGATAGAGATTGTCCTCAAGATATCGCCACTAACTTCCTCAAGTTCCCAAGTCTTCATGCCTTTCTCCACAGTAAACACAGAGGAGAAATATTCATTGAGGCCCTCACCCATCTCCTGCAGTTCCACACATATATGTCCACTTTGGTCCTCGAGGCATCTCGTTCTCTCTCTAGTTATTCTTTTTCCTTTAAAATAGTTAAAGAATCTCTTTGGATTCACCATAATCCTCTCAGCCAAAGCTATCTCGTGCCCGCCTTTTTGCTGTCCTGATTTCCTACTTTAGTAAACTCCTGTATCCCCTATATACCTCCAGAGATTCCCTTGATCCCATCTGCCTGTACCTTAGTCATGCGGCCTCTTTTTCTGGTTAAAGCCTCAATGTCTCTTGTCATCCAGGGTTCCCTACTCCTGCCAACCTCACCCTTCATGCTCACAGGAACATGTAGACCTCTATTTTCTCCAGGTTAGATCCTTCCCGTCCTATTGAAATTAGTTCTCATCCAATTTAAATGTTTTACTTGGAACTATTCCTTGCACTTCAGCATTACTGATCTAAATGATCATTCTTACTCAATTGCTTCTCTAACCGACACTTGGTCCACCTCATTCGCCAGCATGAGATGTAGCAAATTCATTCTTTATAGTAGGACTGAAAACATATTGTGCAAGGAAATTCTCATGAAACCATTTAATTAATTCCTACTCTCCTTAAATTTTACAGTATCACTATCACAACTGATATTTAGTAATTGAAGTCCCAGAATTAGCCATATTACTTTAGCAGGGACTAATATGGCACTGGCAAATGGACAGGGCACATTGCCCAACATAGATGAATGGATAAGATAAGTGGGAATGGACCAAGGATTAGGGCCTGTATGTGTAACTCCCATTCCCAGTGCTTGCTTTTTAATATAAACACATTTATCATTTGGCATCACATTATATTCCAAACCATAAGGATTTTATCCAGATGTGGCTCAGTAGGAGTGATTCTGTCATTGAGTCAGAGACCATGGGTACAAACCCCACTCTAGTCTTGAACAGATCATCCAGGCTTCACTCTCCCCTATAGATTAAATGCTGTGCAGTTGGAGGTTCCATCCTTTAGACAAGATGTTAAACTGAGGCACCATCTGACACAGTTGATACTGTAGCCCTGTTTCAAAAAGCAGAGGATTTCTCCCTGTTAGCTTTTTTAGTATGAATCCATCAAGTAGTGTTACTGGAACATATTATATGGTCATTATTTTTTGTTGTTTTTGGGGATCTTGATGTCACTCTTCGCTGCTGTCTACCCTACCTTGCAACAGAAATTTCATGTCAAAAATACATAATTGGCTCTAAAGTGCTTTGTGGCAACCCAAGATCCAAATATAACCAATCTGTACCAGTGTCAAGCTGCCTTTTATTAATCACTAATTAGCTTTCTCTTCTTCCTATAGTTCCAAATCTAGCTTGGAAGCAGTTCTGTATCGAGAGGTAAGTGTTCTTGCATACATGTGGAGTTGTTACTGTCCAGTTCTCATTATTTGTTACATCATGTATGATTCACTTGCAACAACGTGTAAGCATAAAGATATCTAATTTTCCTGAATAAATTAATTTTTAAAGTTTGAACATTATAGATTTAAGTATTTAAAGTTTGAATGTTATAGAACAGAATATAAATTTGAAAATCTGTGTTTTTACAGTACCTTATAAATATATTATTGTTTTATGTTCTCACTATGGTCCTTGGGGAGCAAGCTATGTAAGCTGTTGAGGATCTTTTAGTAGCTGATGTTGGAGTCTTCATCCTTTTGCAGCACCAGAATGATGGGGTTGGGGTCAGACAGTTTGCAGCTCAGAAGTGGAATTATTACTGCTGGGTGATGGCTTGGACTAGGCTCTGAGACTTGAGCAGCTACAGTAAGGAGCTTGTGGTCTGGAGAGGGAGAGGCACCAAGAGTGGAGCAAGAGCAGGGTGTGGAGCAAGGGCAAGGTCAGAAGTGACGTGGGCTTAGTGCCAGTGTTGCCCGCAGTCTTGGACGAGAGGAAGCTTGACCCCATTTGCTATTTTGATGACCCCAATGGGGTAAGCCTCTTCCCTAGAGCCAGAAAGCTGTGAATTGTGACTCACTAAGACATGGAGCAGCAATTTGTTAAGTCCCTGTGAATCCTGACCACCAAAAGCAGTAAGCTGTCCTGCCAGTTCCTGTATAACATTGTGGAGTGAATCCACATTCAAATGACTTTGCTACAGAACAAGATTGTTTAGTAAAAGCAAAATACTGCGGATGCTGAAAATCTGAAATTAAAACAAAGAGCTGGAGAAACTCTGGATCAGCATTTGTGGAGAGAAAAACAGAGTTCTGAAGCTGAGTCCTGTTGGAATGTTAACCCTGTTTCTACCTCCCTAGATGCTGCGAGACCTGCTGAGTTTCTCCAGCACTTTCCATTTTTATTTCAGATCCTTTAGTAAGGTTTTACCTCCATTGAGAAATGGAGTGCGCTGACAATGTGTTTTGCAGCTTGAAATTTCTGTGTCCGAGCATCTCTTTGGGAAGCCTGGTTTTATTTACAGAGAGCAGCAATGTTAGATGCATGTCCGGGAGAATGACACAGAAACAACATGTTCCAATAATCATTTCCTTATGGTAAAATCAGATTTTTTTGATACTGTGGGTTTCTAGGACTATGAGAATGCTATATCCACTTTAAATTGGGGAAGGTAACAACATAGATATAAATTCTAACAGAGACACAAGCAGTGACTCAGCATTATCAACTGGCTGTTAATTAAAAAAATATTACTTTTTCAAACAAGAGCGTTCCATTGTCACTTCACCCCTGGGGGATTGTCTGTGTGGAGTTTGTACATTCTTCCCGTGTAGGTGTGGGTTTTCTCCAGGTGCTCCAGTTTCCATCCACAGTCCACAAATGTGCAGGTTAGGTAGATTGGCCGTGCTGAATTGCCTGTAGCGTCCAGGGATGTGCAGGTTAGGTGGATTTGCCCTGGGAAATGCAGGGTAATAGGGTAGAGGAGTGGGTTTGGTGGGATGTTCTTTGGTGGGTTAGTGTGGACTTGATGGGCGGAATGGCCTGCTTCCACACTGTAAGGATTTTATGTTTCTATGCATCACTCCAAATAAAGTCATACAAAATAGAAACAGGCCCTTTGGCCCACCATGTCTATGCCGACCAACAAACACCAAATGCACTAATCCCATTTACCTGCAGTTTGCCCTTAGCCTTCTGTGCCCTGGCGATTTATGTGCTCATCCAGCTGCTCCTTAAATGTTGTTAGAGTACCTGCCTCCACCATCCTCTCAGGCAGCACGTTCCACATTCCTACCACCCTCAAGTGAATAAAGGTTTTTCTCAGATCTCCTCTAAACCACTTTACTCTTGACCTTAAACTTATGCCCTGTGCTTTTAGACACTTTGCCATGGGGAAAAGATTCTCAAGATTTACTGTGTCTATGCCTCTCATAATTTTGTATACCTCAATCAGATCAGCCCTCAGCCTCATCTGCTCCAAGGAAAACAAATCCAGCCTTTCCGATCTCTCCTCATAAGCGAGACCTTTCATCCTAGGTAAATGTTCTCAGCCTCCTCTCCAGTACAGTTGTGTCCTTCCAGTAGTGTGGTGACCAGAACTGCACATAGTGTGGCCTAACCAATGCTTTATAAAGTTGTAACAAGACTTCCTTGGTCCTATATTCTACACCTGGTGAACGAAAGCAAGTATCCATATGCCTTCTTCACCACCCTCTCTACTTGTGCACCAAGGTCCCTTTGTTCTTCAGTACTCCCTGGGGACGTACTATTCATTGTGTATATCCTTCCCTTATTAGATCTTCCAGGATGCATCACATTGCACTTATCAGGATTAAATTCCATCTGCCACTGCTCTGCCCACTTTACCAGATGATCAATAAGTTGAGACATTCGCAAATCTGTCACTTAGGGAGGCAAAATACCATTCGAGAGTCTTGTTTGCTGCTGCAGATCTGCCTGTCAGTTCCCCTTAGAATCAAGTCCCTTGTCACTAAAGACAAAAAAACTGAAAGAACTGCAGCTGCTGGAAATCTGAAACAAAAACAGAAATTGCTGGAAAATCTCAGCAGGTCTGGCAGCATCTGTGGAGAGAAATCAGAGTTAACATTCATTAACTCTTGATTTCTCTCCATAGATGCTAGAGATGTGGTTGACTCTTAATTGCTGTCTGTGCAATTAGGGATGGCAATAAATGCTAGCTTAATCAGAAAATGCCACATCTCATGAGTGAATTAAAAAAAATGGTATCTTACATGTTTCAGTCAAATTGTCTCTTACTCTGTTCAATCTATTGTCATAGGATAACGTGAAATAAATCCAGGTATTAATTCAGTAAACTTAGCCTGAACTGCTTCCAACATATTCAACTCACTTGAATAAGAAGACAGTACAAAGCATTCCAGATGTTGTTTCATTAGTGTCCGTACTTTTGTGTTCAGTCCTCCTTGCATTGAACAATAATGTTTCCTTTCCTAGTAGCTTGTTATATTTGTGTGTTAGTTTTTTGCAATTCATGCACGAGGACATCTAGATCCCTCTGCATCTCAGAAGTCTGCAGTTTACCTCACCATTTACAGAGCATGTTTTTATTCTTCCTGTTTCACATTTTGCCACATTATACTTCATTTGCCAGATCTTTGCCCGCTCACACAACCTATTTATATTCTTTTGCAGCCTCCTTTTCTTGAGGTATTTTTCTGCCTGCAATTTTATCATCAGCAGATTTAGCAACCAAAACTTCAGTCCCTTCATTCAAGTCATTTAGAAAAATTGTAAAATGTTAAGGCCTTAGCACTGATCTTTGTGGCACAACACTTATTACATCTCGCCAACCAAAAATTGACCTATTTATGCTTGCTCTGTTTCCTGTTAATCTTCTGTCCATTATCAAATGCCTTCTGGAAATCTAAATACAATACATTACCTGTATTCACAGCATATTTTAATTTTTCAAAGAACTCTACTAAACTGATTGAACATGATTTTCCTTTTACAAAATCATTTTGACACTGCATGATTAGCTTGAATTTTTCCAAATTATTCTATTGTAATGTTTTTGATAATAGCTTCCAGCATTTTCCATATGGTGGATGTTAAGTTACCTGGTCTGTAGTTTCCTCCTTTCTGTCCGTCTCCTTTTTTGAATAAAGGAGTTAAATGTGCTATCTGCCAAATGAGTGAAGCCTTCTCCAAAATGAGGGAACTTTGGAAAATTAAATCAATTATCTTGCTAGCCACTTCTTTTAAGATGGACCCTAGGATGAAGTTTCTCAGGACCTGGATACTTTAGCTCCAACTATCTGTTTAGTACCACTTGCTTGTTAATTGTAATTTGCTTTTGCATTCCCGTTTCTGATTTACAGCACAGGTATTTCTGGCATGTTACTGGTATCCTCTGCGGTGAAGGCTAATGCAATTTACCAGAGATCTCCTTATTTTTCATTATAAAAACCCCAGACTAACTTTCTATAGGACCAATGCTCTGTTTGTTAACTCTTTCTAAATATCAATAGAAATTCTTACTATCTATTTTTATATTTCTAGCTACATATCCCTTGTACTTTTTTTCCTTGTTATTACTCTTTTAGTTATTTTTGTTTTTTTAAATTCTGTCTAGTCTTCTGATGTGCCACCCACCTTTGCACATTTATATCCTTATTCTTTATGTTTGATATTATCTTTAACTTTTCTAGTTAACCACGGTGGGGAGGCGATGGCCTAGTGGTATTATCGCTGGACTGCTAATCCAGAGACCCACATAACATTCTGGGGACCCAGGTTCGAATCCATGGCAGATGGTGGAATTTGAATTCAAATTAATATCTGGAATTAAGAATCTAATGATGACTGTGAATCCATTGTCGATTGTCGGAAAAACCCATTTGGTTCACTAATGTCCTTTAGGGAAGGAAACTGCCATCCTTCCCTGGAATGGACTATATGTGACTCCAGATCCATAGCAATGTGGTTGACTCTTAACTGTCTTCTGAGCAATTAGGGATGGGCAATAAATGCTGCCTAGCCGGCGACACCCTCATCCCGTTAATGAGTAAAGAAAATAAATGATGGATCCTCTTCTTGGAATTTTTCTTGTTGGAATGTATCTGCTTTATTCTGAAATATGTTCTTAAATGTCTGCCACTCCATTTCTACTGACCTCTCCTGTAACTTAATTTGCTAGTTCACTTCCAAGTTGCTCCACTTTTGTTTCCTCATAATTGCTGTGACAGCAGCTTATTTTCATCTGTAAGTTGCCATGATTAAGCAATATATCTCATTCTGTTATTGTCTGTTCCTTGTGAAGAGTCGGTATCAAAGTGTCCTGATGCTTAAATTGGATTCTGCCTAATGTTGATGAGGAGTTTGGGCTGTTGGCCTGGATTCTTAAGGAATAAGATCATTTTCTGCTCCAACCAGTCATGTCCAAGGATAGGATCTTCTCTGATTTTCCACTCCCTTCCCGCATAAGGCACCAGAGTAGGATTTAGAGCATAGAACAGGTCATTTTCCCAACCAGGCCATTCTTGTGCATCTGATTTATTTGCACCAGTTTTCCTCTTGTCTTTCCTCACCCAGCTTTGTCAGTATCGTCCTGTTTATGTGTCCACCACTTGTTGTGGTAATGAGTTCCACGTACTCACTACTTGTTGGGTCGAGACATGTTTTATGAATTCCCTATTCAATTTTTGGTGACTATCTCATACAAATAACCTGTAGTTTAGTTTTCTTCCCTTCCACAAGTGGAATTTTTCTCTTTGCACCTACTGTAACAAAACTTTTCATAATTTTGAATCCTTCTATTAGGGCACCCCTTAGCCTTTTTCAAGAGAAAATAGGCACCACAATCTTTTTCTGATTTTTCTACCTTCACATTTCTGGTAAGATGTTTGCAATTTTTTTTGCATCCTCTGCAGTGCCTTTGTATTCCTTGTATAATAAGATGACCAGAATTGTACGCACACTTCCGACTCAAACTTTTGATACAAGTTTAAAATTACTACTTTACTTTTCATTTAAATAAAACAAAGAATTGCAAATGCTGGAGCTCTGAAAGATAAACTGAAATTGCTAGTGAAACTCGGCAGGTTTGGCATTACCTGTGGGAAGAAAACAGAGTTAATGTTTGAAATCTGGGTTCTGATGAAGTTAGTCAAAATGTTAACTCTACTTTCTTCCCACAGATGCTTCCAGATCTGCTGAGTTTCACCAGCAATTTCTGCCTTTGTTTCTTTACTTTTTTGTATATTCCTCTGATGTGATTTCTCTGCAGCCTTGTTAATCTATGTTGTTAGTGCTAGTGACTTGTGTATTTACACTCCCAGAATCCTGTGTATCCGTTTGCTCATTGAATATCAACTAAATTCACAAAAACCAGTTCCATTGTTTTTAAATGTGAGATGGTTATTTCTAAAATCTTAACTCTTGCAGCCGATGTCGAACAGTATTTTTGTGTTACTATCATTCATTGCTTTTGCAAATACTGATTTTTCTGTATTAGAAAAGGCAACTTGAGCTTAATTCAGAACACCAGATGTAGGAACAGATAATATTTCTTCAAGTGCTCGTATGATTAGATTTATCTTGATAATCTGATGACATTTTTTGATGCTTATTAAGTTGCAACAGGTCTAAATAAAATAATTTTCATGTGAAGTTACAGTACTGATCTGGGTCAGTGGGTTAAATGTGATGTGGCTGGGTGTCATTCTAATATGTATTGCAGACTCAAAAAGGAAGCAGGCGTTTCAAGAGACTTGAGAACAGGAATGGGGTCTTCGGTTTGTTGGTAAGTTTGAACTTGGGTAGTTTTAATTGTTATGATTTGTTTCTGCTATTTTCTTTTCCTTTTCCCTTCCTCTCCCAGAACCACTGACTGAGTTATTTTCCATGATTTTATTTTAAAAATGTTAAAACAAAACAAAGACTGCAGATTCTGGGAACGTTTAGCAGATCAGTTAATTAGTAAGAAATTGAATTATCCTATCACTTACAAGGATTCAAGTCCCACTCAAGAGTCTGAGCACAAAAACCAATACTTACATTCCCCTGCAGTGCTGATGTAGTCTGCACTATTGGAGGTTTTGTTTTTTAGATGGAGCATTAAACTGAGGCCAACTTACCTGGTTGGCTGGATGTAAAGGAACCCATTTCACTATTTGAAAGAAGAGAAGGTTGGTATCCTAGCCAATATTTATTTCTTAGTCAACATCACAAAAATGCAAATTATCTGGTTATTATCAAGTTGCTGCTTGTGGCACTTTGCATGCAGTTTGACTGTCCATTACAGCAGTGACGATGCATCAAAAGCACGTATTTGGTTTTAAGGCACTTTGCGTGGTTGTGAAAATCACTTTGTACATGCAGATGATTTTTAATTCACATTGATCTCTGTTTGCCATAGTTTTGCCAAATCATTTAATTTGCCTTTATAACTTGCTCCTTTCTTCTGCAGTACTTAACCGTGCCTCCCGATTTCATGTTTTCTGCAAAACACAGCAAAAAGCTGAACAGTTAGTACAGATCCCCATGGAACACTGTGAGATCCGACCAATCAAAATACATTCCCTTTATCCCTTCTTCCTACCCCCTATCTCACAGCCAAATTTCTAACCCATGTTGCAAGGTTACCGTCAGTTGCATACAATTTAATTTTTGCACCTATACTCTGGTTTGAAATCTTACCAAGTGCCTTCTGGAAGTCTACATAGTTTACATCTACACGCTCCATGGCATCCTCACAATGTTAAGTTAGTATGCTATAATTTCCCCATTACAACTCTACATGATTGTGATCAATGCATGTTCTGTCATTCTGTCCTTGATAAATATGTAACTTCTACACAACTGACATTAGACTGACAGAAAGGTCTGCAGTTACCTGATTTCGCTTTGCTGATAGAATTATAGAATGATATAGCACAGAAGGAAGCTGTTTTACCCATGGTAACTGTGCTGACTCCTTGTAGAATTATTCAATGAATTCTACTCCTCTGCTCTGTGGCCCTTAAATTGTTTTAATCCCTTCAAATATTTGTCCAGTTCTCTTTTGAATTTTTTTTTCCCATTCATTTGTGGGATGTGGGCGTTGCTGGCTGGCCAGCATTTCTTGCCCATCCCTAGTTGCCCTTGAGAAGGTGGTGGTGAGCTGCCTTTTTGAACCACTGCAGTCCACCAGCTGTAGGTTGGCCCACAATGCCATTAGGGAGGGAATTTCAGGATTTTGACCCAGCGACAGTGAAGGAATGGCGATATATTTCCAAGTTAGGATGGTGAGTGGCTTGGAGGGGAACTTGGAGCTGGTGGTGTTCCCATATGTCTGCTGCCCTTGTCCTTCTAGATGGAAGTGGTCGTGGATTTGGAGGGAGGCTGTCTGAGGATCTTTGGTGAATTTTTGCAGTGCATCTTGTAGATAGTACACACTGCTGCTACTGAGTGTTGGTGGCAGAGGGAGTGGATGCTTGTGGATGTAGTGCCAATCAAGTGGGCTGCTTTGTCCTGGATGGTGTCAAGCTTCTTGAGTATTGTTGGGGCTGCATTTATCCAGGCAAGTGGGGGTATTCTATCACACTCCTGACTTGTGCCTTGTAGATGGTGGACAGGCTTTGAGGAGTCAGGAGGTGAGTTACTCACCACAGTATTCCTAGCTTCTGACCCAATATTGCTATTGTGTCCACTTCCAATAGCTATTCTATATTGTTGGGGCCCTGGCGGGGATATTTAATACTTCTCTGGGCACAGATGAAGTGCTAGATGACAGGAGGATAGCAAATGTGGTTCCTTTTATCAGCAGGGGAGGTAATGGCCTAATGGTATTATCGCTGGACTGTTAATCCAGAGACCCAGATAACATTCTGGAGACCTGGGTTCAAATCCTGCCACGGCAGATGGTGGAATTTGAATTCAATAAATTATCTGGAATTAACAATCTAAAGATGACCATGAATCCATTGTCGATTGTCGGAAAAACCCATCTGGTTCACTAATGTCCTTTAGGGAAGGTAACTGCCATCCTTGCCTGGTCTGGCCTGCATGTGACTCCAGACCTACAGCAATGTGGTTGACTCTCAGCTGCCCTCTGGGCAATTAGGGATGGGCCATAAATGCTGCCTACCCAGCGATGCCCTCATCCCATTAATGAATGATAAAAGAAGCCCAGCAAGGAGAGGCCAGCTAATTACGGAACCAGTTATTCTGATGTCAGTGGCAGGGAAATTATTGAAATAAGTTCTGAGGGACATGGTTAATCAACACTTGGAAAGGCAGGGATTGATCAGGGATAGTCAGCACGAATTTGTTTGGGGGAGATCCTGTCTGACAATATTGATTGAGTTTTTTGAAAAGGTGACTAAATATATTGATAACGGTAGTGCAGTTAATGCGGTTTTCAGTAAGGTCCACATGAAAGGTAAGAGCTCACGGATTCCAAGGCATGTTGGCAAACTGGATTCAAAATTGGCTGTTAAATGGGAGGCAAAGGAATGTATTTGTGATCGGAAGCCTGTGGCCAGCAGTACACCACAGGAATTGGCGCTGGGTTCCTTGCTGTTAGTTATGTACATTAACAACTCGAATGTTAATGTAGAAGGTATAATGAGTAAGTTTGCAAATGAAATGAAAATTGGTGGTGTTGTTTATTGTGAGGAAGATTGTCTCAGGCTACAGTCTGATGTTGATCAGTTAGTAAATTGGGCAGAGCATTGACAGATGGAATTTAATCCTGATAAGTGCAAGCTGATGCATTTTGGGAGGTCTGATAAGGGAAATATATGCATAACGAATGGTAGGTTCCCAGGGAGTACCAAGGAACACAGGGACCCTGGTTTAAATGTCCTTGGATCCTTGGAAGTATCAGCACGGGTAGTCTTGCTGGTGAAGAAGGCATACGGGTTGCTTGCTTTCATTAGCCTCGATGTTGAATACAGGAGCAAGGAAGTCCTCTTCCAACTTTATAAAACATTGGTGAGGCGACAGAAGGAATACTGTGTGCAGGTCTGGTGACCACACTATCAGAAAGACATGATGCTTTGGAGTGGGTGCAGAGGCGATTCACCAGGATGTTTCCTGAGATGAAAAGTCTCAGTTATGAGGAGAGACTGTATAGGCTGGCTTTGTTTTCCTTGGAGCAGAGGAGGCTGAGGGGAGATCTGATTGAGATATACAAAATTATGAGAGGTGTAGACAGATTGTGAGAATCTTTTTTTCCCATTGTAAACATGTCTAAAACCAGAGAGCGTAAGTTTAATGTGAGGAGTTTAGAGGATATCTGAGAAAAGTTTTTTTCTGAGAGGATGATAGAAATATGGAACACGTTGCCTGAGGGGATGGTAGATGCAGACATCCTCACAGCATTTAAGAAGCATCTGGATGAGTGCTTAGAATGCCAAGGCATAGTAGGCTGTGGACCAAGTGCAGGTAAATGGGATTAGTGTAGTTTAGTGTTTGTTGGTCAGCATGGACATGGTGGGTTGAAAGGCCTGTGACTATGAAGTTGTTGTTCTTTATGCAACTCGACACAGTTCACTATTCATGTTTTCCTCGGAATATCTTGCTTAACTATTTGCTTCGGGCTTGTTTTGCTCATGATCTTCTTGACCAACACTTTCATAGTGCTTCCAAGTCAGATGAGAGATACAAGACAAGATCAAGATAGGAGTTGAGACACTTGAAAAATATTGCAATATGAAAGACTTGTACAAAAGAGAGGAAACACGGAACCATGGAACGTTGAGCAGCCAGTCCTATCCCTGCTAGAAAAGCTTGGATTATTTCCTCTGGAGTGGCAGAAGCTGAGGGGAGACTTGATAGAAGTCTATAAAATAATGAGACTCATAGATAGGGTTGATGGTCAGAATCTTTCTCTCAGAGTTGAAATATCTGAAGCTAGGGGGCATGCATTTAAGATAAGAGGAGGAAAGTTCAAAGGAGATGTTGGGGCAAGTTTTTTACAGAGTGGTAAGAATCTGGAACGCGTTGCCAAGGGTGGTGGTAGAGGCTGCTATGATAGGGGCGTTTAAGAGACTTTTAAAAAAGTATGCGAATATGCAAGGAATGGATGGATATGAACCAAGGGCAGGTAGAAGGGATTAGTTTAATTTGGTGTCATATTCGGCACAACATCGTGGGCCGAAGGGCTTGTTCCTCTATGGTTTGTGTTCTAGAATGAATGAGGGATGACGATGAATCAGAATGCGTCAGCTGTGACTCACTCTTGCCTATTAATCAGAAAGTTGTGGTTTCAAGTTCCACACCAGAGTCTTTGGAATAAAATCCAGGCTGACACACGCTGTACAGCACCGAGGGAAGGCTACAGGGCTGCGCTGTCTTTTAGATGAGTGATTAAATTTGGGCCCTATCTCCTGGGCAAAAAAGATCCTGTGGCAATTTTTCTAAGGTTGAAGGAGTTCTCAACAGTTCTGAATGTTATTTATCTGTCAACTTATATCAGCGGAACAGATTATCTGGGCACTTACTGGTTCTCATTGCTATTTATGGGAAAAGCTGCATTTCTTACATTACAGTAGTGAGTACACTTAAGAGGTATTTTGTTGCTGTAAAACACTTTGCGATATCCTGAGACCATGAAAGATGCTGTTTAAAGACATATGTTTTATTTTAGGAGGTAAGTGGGGATTGTGCAGGCATGAAACAGGAACAAGAGAGATTATTTTGGAGACAAGAAGTATGCAAGCAGATGAGAGTTTCTCCTGGCATTGTGTTTAAAAAAAAAACAGAAGTGCTGAGTCAGTTATTTTCATTAATATTTATTATTAAGGATGGCCATATTGTTAAGTAGTGCAAGCAGGCTAGAATTATGAATATAGAACATTACATTCCATGTTCCAGTAGAATTAAATGTGCCTGCCGGTGAGGACAAGACCACATTATCCCTTCAGGAGTCTTCCATAACCTACTTTGCTGGTGTTAAACTTCCAGTACTTCCAAAGTCCAAGCCGTTTTTGTTTCTGCCATATCCAAGTTCATTGAATCTCCCAGGATCTCTCCAGATCTTCCATATCCCTAACCTCCTGAGTTTTATTAGTTTCCTTCTTGGCTGTTGTTAGCATACCCTGGCATCATTCTACAGCACCCAGCAATGTTCCCAGACTTCTTGCATCACCCATAAATTCCTCTGTCTTGGCCACTGCAGGAACTAGCATAACCCAAGCTAGCTATCTACCCCTCTGAAAACAAAATTGGCCCATACACATAAGAATTCCATCAAGTTTTCCAGAATCCTAGCCATTCTACACCAAACTCCTTCCATTACTCTAACCCTTGCTCTTGCTTCCTCCCAGCCATGACCCATCATCTTTCTCAAAAAAAAACAATGTTTCAGAATAATGCGGTACACCAGGTGCGTGAATGAGTGTGACACAAAAGAGATTGAGATTGGGAAAGGAGCAGAGAGATAATAGCCTGAAGAAATTGCTTTATGTGTGTGGCCAGTGCCACTAGTGATTGAGTTCTGCATGGCATGTGAAGTTGTGGTATGAGTAAACCTGCGGATGCTGCAGGATATTGTCGGCACTGGTTTAAATATAGACACGGTCAGTGCCTAGTGCTGGGTTAACTCTTGGCTATTGAAATTGTCTTTGGAATTCCCTCCCTGAACACATTGTGGGTCAATCCACAGCAGATGGACTGCAGTGGTTCAAAAAGGCAGCTCACCACCACCTTCTCAAGGGCAACTAGGGATGGGCAACGAATGCTGGCCGGCCAGTGATGCCCACATCCCATGCATAAATTTTAAAAAAATGAGTGAACTAAAAAAAAATGGGGTTCAAGTGCAACAAACCATTATTTAATAGTTAACTGAGAAACATGCAATATGTACTGCCACTTTGTTGTGATACTAGAGGGGTGGCAGTAGTTGAAGTGCTGTGTGATTCTCAGTCACCGATTTTGAAAAGAGGGAGAAAAACTGGTCCGATACAACTTTTGAGGAGAGTTTCTTTTAGCCCTGTCAAAAATTTTGACCCGACAGTCAGTACACCTTTACAACAACTTATGATTATGTGGCACCTTTAATGTAGTAAAGCATCTTAAGATACTTAAGAGGAGCAAGGTTCATGCCTTCACACTGCAATAGAGAAGGGGCACTATGGGGACAGAAAAGCCTATTTCTTCTGAAATGCTCCATGTTTTTGCTTTCTAGACGGAGAAAGAACGACAGCAGCTACTCCAGACATACCCTGCACAGCCTTTCCTTGTGCCGGCGACTCATCCACCTGAGTATCCTAATCCTCAGTTAATGGACCATCTCTCCAACTTTCCCTCCCCCTCCATCTTCCAGGAATCAAAACCCAAATTGAAAAAAGTTTTGAAGAAGACTCTGAATGAGAAGTACAGAATTAAATACCTTCGGTTGCGAAAGACTGTAAAAACTCTGATCTTTGTGAGTATTTACCTTAGTTTGATTAGCATTCTTATACCGCTGTCTGTTGGCAACAGAAATATGCAGTTCTTATTCATACTTATTACATCATGTAACATAGAAACGTAGAAACTAGGAGCTTGACTAGGCCATTCGACCCTTCAAGTCTTCTCCACCATTGAACGTGATCATGGCTGATCCTGTGTCACAATGCCATTTTCCTGCTTTCTCCCCATACCCTTTGATGTCTTTAACATCCAAGAAGGTATTTTCTTGAATATATTCAGTTATTTGGCCTCCACAGCCTTCTGTGGTAGAGAATTCCACAGATTCACTACCCTTTGAGTGAAGTAATTTTACCTCATCTCAGTCCTAAATGGCCGTCCTCATATCCTGAGACTTATCTCCTGGTTCTAGACTCCCAAGCCAGGGAAAAACATTCATCCTGCATTTGATCAGTCCAATCCTGTTAGAAATTCATACATTTCAATCACATCCTCTCTCATCCTTCTAAACTCTAGTAATTATAATGTGTTTCATTGTGTTGTACCTACTCAGTCATCATTCTTGAGCTAATTAATAAATTGAATCAGGCGTTGAGTTTTGGACTGGTAGGTATGTGTATCAAGTATAGTTATGGAAAGGAGATTTGTGGAAATACTAGTGATCTTTCAGAAGTTGGTGTTAAATTGCTTGTACTGTACTTTTCTATTATTTACCGAGATATTGGATAGAAGAGATGCAATTTGACTCAGAGATTATCAAGTCTTCTTTCCGGATGGGCTAGAAATGCTGAACCTGAGAAATGATGAACTGTAAAAGTGGCAAAAATATGACAGTTATTGAAGATTTATCAAGCATTTTAGCTGCTGATTTTTTTTGTAAACTATGTTGCCAAACATAGTAGACATTCTGTAAGGAGATAGAGCATAGAGTATGGAGTGCACCTTTCTGAGTTAAGTAAGCAACAAGATAACCTTTCTTTATGAGCCTGTTTATGGGTATAATGAATCTATATTTCAGGAGAATGCAGCTCTCTGCGATGAAATTGCTTATATAGAGCAGAAATTCATCCGGACTAAGGAAGAACGACGGTAAGGGATACTTCCAATTATTGTTGCTATGTTTTATATTTTAGCTGCCTCATCTTGTGGCTGGCTGGTTGCCTGTTGTGTGGACTACATTCAGGTGAAAATGTCACACATAGTACTGAACCAAAAATGGGTGATAGTTGTTGAAATTTACATTGAGTTACAATCTTTGTGGATACTTTTGTTCAAAATGTTAACATTGCCTTTTGATATATGAAGTTGTTTCACCAAAGCTTTTAGCAACTAAAACTGTTACATTATTAAATCACCAAAGAAAGTATTTGCTGAAAATAGCTGAAAATCTGTCTATAGATCTTGCTCATAAATAAATTTTTGAAATTAAGAGTTTGTAATTTTCCTTTTCTTCTTGAATCATTAATCTAGTTTATTTGCTGGTACGTAAAATGGATGTTTCTAGCCATGATGTTGTACTTCTCTCTTTAAATGCACATTAGGTTCCTATTGAAGCGGCTATTGCAGCATCAGAACTTAACTGATGGGACTGACCTTGCAGGACCGACCAGTACTCTGCTTACTCCTCCTATGTTCAATGTCCCTGGAGGATCCAACCAAGTGCCAGGAGTCTCAAACCTTCCTACAACACCTGTTACCAGTACTTCAGTTGGAGAGGAGGCAGTGGGGAAAAAATCAAAGAAAGACAAAAAAGACAAAGGAAAAGATAATGGCAAAGATGATGGTAAGACTTTGGGCATCCTGTGAGTGCTGTGGGAGTGACCAGTAATTGTTTGATGCACAGTGGTGCAATCATGAGTTACTGTCAGAAAGCAGAACCTGTGTGTAATGTAACTGCTGACTGTGCAATGATTCACTTCCGGCAGAGCATCAGCAGGCAGCGCAGATCATTTAATGTCATATTGCACGGAGAGCAGATTTTTTAGCAGCCCTTTAACAAAAACTTATCACTGATCCGTACATCCTATTAATGTTAGAGGTGGACCAAACACAGAAGGAGTTACCAACTCAGATGCAGGTTGATACTTGAAGAGGGAGGTCCACAGTGGATGGAAAAGGCATTCACAAATTCCAAATGAGGAGGTTGTGGATGCATACTGCTTTATGCTTACCCCATCTGACTGCTTCATGATGTTAATGATCTCTACCCAGCCACCCTTCAGTTCTGTTTCTTTAGAGAAGTAATGTCCAGCCATCAGCCTTTCCTCATTAATATCCTGTCAGTTCTGGTATCATCCTTACGAATTACCTTTGTACTTATGTTAATGTCTCTATATCTTTTTAAAATGAAAGGAAAATAGAAGAGAATCGTAACATGAGCCACCCCAGGCAAAGCTAGTTGCTCCATCTTGAGAAACCTTCAAACAATTTATTATTTAATTTCACACTCCAGTTCACTGCCCCTCTCTGTCATTCCACAGAGGACCCTCAATGATTGTGAGAGATCATGTAGACTTTCCCCTCCGTTCACAGCTTGACAAACTGCCTACACAGTAGAAGCATATGGCAAACATATGGAACAATCGAAGAGTAGAACTGGTGAATATATAGCAAACTGTGCATCCTGCACACCTCCATACAGACCCAACAAAGTGTACAGTACTTCAGAGTCTCCCATGAAACAGCTGCAGCTATTTTGCATCAATCTGCTATCTCAGATGATACACAAATCATCTTCTACTTGACCTTCATTAATCTCCCAATGAAAATTCAACACAAGCACCTAAGCCTCAACTCAGTGACCTCAGTCCTTCCTGCAGACTATTAGTACAAAGCCCAGGCCTGATACCACAGCTATTTCCAGAATGCTGTCTCCCAATCAGTCTCCAGGGTTCATGCGGTCTTCCAAGCAATTCCTAGGTTCCATTCTATCACACTGTCAGACAGTCAGAGTCTGTATTATTACCCTGTCAGTCTCCCATTGTGTGTGTTGCCCACCCTCCTCACCTCCATAGGTTTCCCAGGGTCTGTGCTGACCCTATTAGTGTCTGTGCTTTCAACCAATCAGTGTCCATGCTTCTGTACTGTAATTTGGTTAATGACTGGGGGTCTATCCTGTCACTGTCAGTCTCCAGGGATTGTTCTGTTGCACTATAACTTTACAGTGCATCACAAAGCATTGTCAATGCAGAGAAATCTATGGCAGTATTAATGCAACACTCATCAGTCGGAGAGCATTGACTAGCCCTGAGGTATACAGTGGTGAGCTAACAAAATTACTATCAGTGGCAGTGTAAAACCTCCTCTGATATGTCAGTGTCATATTATTCCATATTGGTTCCACCTCAGTAGGTACGTTATTCCATCTGCCCAGGTCATTCTATATAGTGAGGTTGGGGAGCACGGAGGCATTGGGAGGGATGATTCATTTGTGGAAATTAGATTGTTTGGAAAGGTCATTGTTCCAAGATATTTGGCATGAGGCAATGGTCATCCAAAACAGCATCACTTGCGACTGTCTGTAGGGGTGTCCGGTGTGCAGTTGTGGTCATACTACTGATTGTTTGGAATGTTAAATGGAGAGTGGGGTTGGGGAATGACAATGACACCAGTGTACAGTGATGCTTTATGTTCAGATTCGCAGCCTTTACTCCATGGATATCAGTGCTTGAGCTCGTCTTGCTGCCAGGAACGCTATTATGAGGGCGAAGAGGAGGGCTGATTGGAACATCCTTACTTCCTCCCCCGACAGATGGAGAATGCGGTGTTGCCACAGGAAAGGCTGTTTGATGAAATGCAAGCAGGGAGAATATTACTGTTTTCAAGTGACTGTTATAGGAGTGATCTAGCACATGGGATATGATGGCTACTGATATTTCTGTAAAAGCATTTGATCAGTTCATACTGGCCCAAGGTGCCAGTCTCCAATCTTAGGGACAGACCTTGGCTAGTATTATACATTTTGATCTGAGCTCAGTTATAGGTCGCTACCTATTTGGAATGTGACCATATCTTTCTTGAAAGTGCCAGGAAAGATGCCTGTCTCTTTAACATATGGAAGAATTACAGCAGGAAGCAAAGAATTGTCAGCATCCAATCAAAATGTTTTGGGGACGGCCTGGAGATCTGGAGTACTGATTTGATGAGACTAGGACACTCAGTGCTGCTGTCTATTCTAGTGGAGAAATTTGGCCATTGGTGGATACAGGTGGGATTCCTGAGGTCTCCAGGGAGATACAGATTTTTGAGGATTTTGCTGTCATCATATTTTAGCTCACCCTCTGTATTCCATCATAAAAATAGAAAATATAAATATCCAGCAGCTCTGGCAACATCTGAGGAGGAGAAAACTGAGTCAGTTCAGTGGCCTGTCACCAGAATCTGAAACAATCAGAAATGAAACTGATTTTAAGCAAGTACAAAGGCAGGGAAAGATGGAGGGGGTTGGTGTGTGGAAACGACAAAAGGGAAGGTTTGTTTTGGGGTGGAAGGCAGGAGAGATTAAATGACAAAAGGGATGGTGTAGGGCAAGAAGAAGAAGTAGTAATACAACAAATAAAGAACCAAACGAGTGGAAATAACATGATCGTTGTGCACCACATCCAGACCCATAGCAATGAGGTTGACTGTTAACTACCCTTTGAATTGTCTCTAACAAGCCACTCAATTCAAGGGCAATTAGGAATGAGCAATGAATGCTGGCCTTGCCAGCAATGCCCACATCCCATGAAAGAATTTTTTAGAAAGGACAGTGTAGGAGGTGAAAGACAGAGAGGTGGGAATGGAGCAGAGAATTAAAATGACAGATGACCAGAAGCTTGCAGACTGAACTGAAATTCTGTATTGGATCTCTCCACCATAGTGGAGACCACCTTATGAGCACTGAAATTAAATGATTATTTAATCTGATTGGTGTAACGATTGGAAGGGAGGAGATGAAAGGGAAGATCTCCTGTGTTTTATGTAAAATCTTGATGGTAAGAGGAGGAGTAGATGAGGCTACTGTAGAGAGAACAGTTTGTATGAAATGTTGAAAGTTATAGGGAGCTGTGTTTGCTGGTGGGATCATGCTAGAGATGAAGGAAATAGTCAAGCACATGAAGTTGGATGCAAAGTTTGGCGCGATGATAGGTAAGGACAGGGAACCCCATCCTGGCTGTGCGATGGGGTGAGGTGAGACTTCTGTGAAATGGGATGGATATGGTCAGGGGGGTCTGACAACCCTGAAGTGGAGGCTGTCCTTGGAGACAGGCCTTGGTCAAGGGTAAAATGGAAGATACCTTGGAAGCACTTGTGTCGAAGATTACACCATCAGAATGGATGATGGTGACAAAGGAGGAGGAATTGCAAAAATAGAAGTGAGTCCTTACATGAGGTGGAGTATGGAAAGTGTAGTGAAGTGTTTCTAGTAGCAGTTGATGACAGTCAGTTCTCTAAAATAGAGAATAGAGAAGTCAAGGAGGGGAAAATGAACAAAGTGTATTGCATTTATTGTAATGAACAGTTCCAGGATGCATCAGATGAATGTCATAAAATAAATTAAGTCAGATGACCAAAAGCTCAATCAAAGAAGTAGATTTCAAGAATTGTCTTAAAGGAGGAAAGCAAGGTAGTGAGGTGGAGAAGTGTGGTGAAGTAATTGCAGAGCTTAAGGCCCCGGCAACTGAGGCACAGTCACCAATGATTGGGAATACACAAGAGATCAGAATTTGAGAATCACATAAGCTGCCCAAGGGTTGAGAGTTTGGAGGAGATTATACAGATAGGAAGGAGAAGGTCATGGAGGGACCATTGCAGAAAACCCAACCACATGAAGGCAAGGAAGAGTAATAATGTTTGTAGTAATGTTGATGAAATATTATGGTTTAGACTGCAAACAGGAAAGTGGCACCAAGGAAGTCATCAGTGTACCAGAAAGAGAGATGAGGTCAGGGACCTGAGTCAGACTGAATTCTATTATTTGCTTGTTGTCAGAAGGTGTTTACAAATAATATCTGTGGCAGAGCTGGAACAGAGCTGCCCTATTTCTCTTATGTTACAAAGTGAACCTATTCCCTATCTCCTCCTCTTGCTTCAGTGCTTTTCATTTTGGGGAGGCGAAGGTTGGGGTACATAAATTTAGGAGAGAAATTTGGAAATTTTTTCACATACATAGAATAGGAGAGATTTGGAACTCTGCTCCAAATAGAGATTAATGGGAGATCAGTTGTTGATTTTAAATCTGAGATTGAACAACTTTATTAACTGAATTTATGAAGGAATATAGAGGTAGGGAAGGGTGTATGCAGAATTAGGTTAAGAATGTGCCATCATCTCAGTGAATGGTGGAACAGACTGGAGGGACAAATGACCCCTTTTTCTTGCTATATTCCTGTACTGTCAACTAAATATGGCAAACATTAAGTTTTTTTGTCATGTTTTAGCTTGATACTTTTTCTTTAATTTAGACACAACATTCAAGAAGTTCAAATCCAAATAACAGAACAGTTATGTTCTGACATTAGTCAATATAATTTTGCTAGGACTCCTATTAGTTTTGGTCTTTGAACAGATAGCTGAAGTATGGAAGGCTGCTTAACTTGAGAGTGTTTGAAGGGGACACTGATAAAGGACCTTTATTCTGTATCTAAACTTCTGCTGTACTTGCTGTCGGAGAGTTTGAGAGACAGTTTAGAAGGAGTTCTACTCTACATCTAACCCCGTACTCTACTGCTCTGGAGTCGTTGATAGGATATTGTAAAGAGAGCTTTACTCTATATTTAATCCCATGCTTGACCTGCCTTAGGGGTGTTTGATGGAAGCAGAATATAGGGAACTTCATACTACCTAACCCTGTGCTGTACCTGCACTGGCAGTGCTTGATGAGGAATGTAAAGGGTGCTTTACTCTGTCTCTAACTTGTGCTGTGCCTCCATTAGGTGTATTTGATGTTGATTCCTCATGCCTGACATGGCAAAGTGCTTAATGAGCACAGAACTCTGGAGAAAAAAATAGCAGAAACGTTTGTTCAGAAATATTTATTATTCGGCCCTGTCTAAATATATTGTGTTTTAAATATGTGGTTTAATAAGCATCTTCTAACTCAGGGTTTTCCTTTCACGGGTTAGCCAGCATTGTCCTGCATGGATATCGGAGGCTCCGCTGAGTCACTGGGATATATGTCTGTAGCTGCTGACAGTCACGTTACTGTCAGTGCTTGAAACTTTCTTCATGTACAAGTAACTGTGTAACTTATTTGGTCATGTATTAATGGCAGCTCCTTTTGAATTCAGCTGACATTTATTCAAATCTACAAGTGCTTTAGGTGGTGAGAACTTGCCAGGACTGTGGGATTCAAAGAGCTAGTCTTAGACTTTCACAAAGCTCAGGTTATGATGGGAATACTTTGTATATGGCAAATATCAAGGGAAGAAATAACTGTATACAAAAGTTTAATTTAAAAATTACAGTTTATTATGTATATTATATAACATTTATTGTTTCCCTTTTGAGGAATTAACATGATTTAACATCTGTTCTAATTATATGCATTTTATATTGCTGTTATTTATTCATGCTTTCACCTATTGTATAATAAATTCAATTGCCATTTAAAGCCAAAACCCAGGTCTGGTGTGATGATATTCTACCACTTCTTGGAGAACATGCAAAGACTTCTATAGATACAGGATGGATCCTATAGCTAAAGATAGAGTTTATGTTATTCTGGGCACATTCCCAAAATTTACGAAATAATCTGAGCCAGAATGGTGATACTCTTGAGGCTGTACTGAGCTGCAACCTTTTGATGCAACTAATCAAAACTCTTGAAAGTTGAAATGACTGGACTAAAATATATTTTCTGATTCTCACGTAATTGTTCTGAGATCACAAGGCTTGCTGTGGAAGGCACAAAACCACAAAAATGGTGCAGAACTTCCAATTCCTTGCTCATCATGGAGATTCTTGTTTTGTCTGTCCATTCCAATTTATGGCTAGCCTCACTTGAGAGGATTATGGTGTCTTAAATCCTACCCATGTTTGAGCCTCTAAATGTATACAGTCTTTCCTCGTAGTCCACTGGTGTCAGGAACATTATATGATAACAGTGACACCGCCAACTGAAAATGTTCTCAGATAATATCCAGGAGCCTGGGGATCCTTGTTAGAATGTGGCACTTCTCCAACATTCATACAAAATGGATAGATTCTCAATCTCGCACCAAGCCATCCAACATCACCAGACCTGTTCCTTTGGGACATAGAATCCCTACAGTGTGTAAACAGACCCTTTGGCCCAACAAGTCCGCACCGAACCTCAGAGCATCCCACCCAGACCCATCCCCCTATAACCCACACATCCCTGAACACTACATGCAATTTAGCATGGCCAATCCATCTAGCCTGCACATCTTTGGACTGTGGGAGGAAAGTGGAGCACCCAGAGGAAACCCATGCAGACACAGGCAGAATGTGCAAATTCCACACAGACGCCCAAAGCTGGAATTGAACCCAGGGCCCTGAGGCAGCAGTGCTATCCACTGTTCCACCGTGCTGCCCTGAACATCTGATGTAGTTAGAGCTGACCTTCTAATGTTGCACTCCACATCACAATGGTCTCTATGAACACAACTCTGTCTCCAGTAATACTAAAGTAAGAGGATTTAAGAATACTGGAGAATGTGTACAAAAAATATTTGCTGGAATAATTATTGAACCGAAGGGTTATAAGTTGCCCAGGAAATATTGAGCAGGGTGGGCTCTTCTTTATTGAAACCTGAGAGGTTACCTGTTAGAGGTCTACAGGATTATTATAAAGCTGAGTAGGGTAGATGTAGGCAAGACTTTACCTCAATAGGGGAAAACCCAAACAAATGGTCATTTATATCATCATCAACACATCCAATTGAGAATTCAGGAGAAATTTCTGAAAGTGGTTAGAATGTTATTGCAGGATGACTTTGAGGCGATTAGGGCAGAAGTATCTAAGGGAAGGCTAGATAAACGCTTGAGGGAAAACAAGAATAGGGTGAAATGAGGAGTAAGAGACTCCTGGAGCACTGACTGAGAAACCTGTTTCTATGCGGTTAATATTTTCTCACAATTTGTCTTCCTTTATCCTCAATATAAAGTCTATTTGAAGATTTGAAATTTTCTATCAACAACACCACCACCACCCAGCCTCAATAGCTTTTTGAAGGAAAGAGTTCAGATTTCCACTCCCCACTGTGAATAACAGTCTCAGAAAATCATCCCTGAATGGTCATTATTTCCCTATCCTTAACTGCCCTGGAGAAGGTGATGAGCTGCCTTCTTGTACTGTTGCAGTGTATGTAGTGTAGAATATGCTCAGTGCTTTTAGGGAAGAGTGTTCCGGGATTTGAATCCAGTGATAGTGAAGGAAAAGGGATATATTTACAAGTCAGGATGGTGTGTGACCTAAAGGGGATCTTGCAGGTGTTGGTATTGACATGCATCTCCAGCCCTTGTCCTTCTAGGTGGTAGAGCTTGCAGTTTTGGAACATTCTGTTGAAGGAGCCTTAGTGAGTCACTGCAGTGAATCTCGTAGATGTTACACACCACTGCAACAGTGGTGAAGGGATTTAATGTTAAAGGTGGTGTATGTAGTGCTAGTCAAGTGGGCTACTTTGCCCTGGACGAAGTCGAGCATCTTGGGCAAGTGGAGAGTATTCCATCACACTCCTTGTGCCTTGTAGATGGTGGTCAGGCTTTGGAGAGACATGAGGAAACTATAGAAATAACATAAAAATTACAACAAAGAAAGAGCCCATTCAGCCCACTGTGTTTGTGCTGGCTGGATGAAATACCCACCCATTCTAAAACCACACTTTCTAGCATCTGATCTGTAGCCTTGCAGGTTATTGTGCATTGGTTACAGATCCAGATTCCTTCTAAATGAATGGAGGGGTTCCACCTCACCCACCAAACTGGGCAGCAAATTTAGTCACCCACCTCCCTCTGAGTGAAAATGTTTTCCTCGTGTCCCCTGTAATTCTTCTACCAATTACCTTATATCTCTACCCCTTTGTAATTGACCTCTCTGCATCCATTGATACTTCCTCATCTGCCATGATGATGTCCTTGCAAAATTTAAACTGTTTTTTGTTTGACCTGACTTACCCTTAATAAATCCATATGCTGGTTTCTCTGACCAGCTCATTGATTCCTGGGGGCTTTTTGAGCCAGACCGTTAGAGAGAGATCTCCCTGGCAAAGTGCTGTACCAGACAAAATATGTCCACTGCTGCAGTTTGACCCTTATGCCAACATGTGTGGTTGATTGAGCTGGTGGATATGCCAATTGAAATGTACAGTTCCTAGCAGGAGGACTAGGCAACTGAATCCTTTCCTGGAAGCTGCACATTCTCTGCTTCCTCAACATCAAATGCAGCCGCAACCCAGCAGAGGCTTTCTTCAGTGTAATGCATCTCAAACTTTGTACAAACAGCTACCCAGCCATGCAATGTAGGAGCAAATTACTACAGATGCTGGAATCTGCACTGAAAACAACCACTGCTGGAGATCTCAGCGGGTCGGACAGCATCCACGGAGAGAGAGCAAGCTAACATTTCGAGTCCAGATGACTCTTCATCAGAGTCTGATGAAGCTCTGATGAAGAGTCATCTAGACTCAAAACGTTAACTTGCTGTCTCTCCATGGATTCTGTATGACTCGCTGTGATCTCCAGCATTTTGTTGTTTTCTACCCAGCCATGCAAGACCATTTTTTTAATGAAGTCCATAGCGCATCGCCAGGTTTTGACCTATATGTAGGTCCTAGCATTTGCCAACAGTCCCAAAGTGCCACCGAGTACAAAAACACAAGAAAAAGTATTGATGTGGAGCAGCTGTCTATGACAGCTTCACATCATGTTCTGAAAATTAAAGGGTTTATTTTCACATTTTGTGCTTGATTTCTGCAGATTGGTTGAAGTGCTAACATGCAATTAATTCTAGGTCTGAAAAATGTATCAAAGAAGAAACGAAGTAGGGACAGGAGCACCCGAAAACTGATTCGACCAATCCTTCTGGACTCGTGGCCAGCCATTCTTTTCCATAGTACTTCAAGGACTGACTATTTACAGTTTTAGGAGAGGTTTGCATTCTTATCCCTGATTCCATAAGAAAAAAATCATCAATCTTGGATGTTTCCATTTCAAGGTGTCAAATTTAAGCACTCGGCAAGAAGAGGGCAATCTCATTCTGAGATGTTACTTTGCTACTTTGGGAATTGTACAAGGTGCCTGTCCTGGGCGTGTTTGATGGGGACAGTGTAAGGAGAGTTTTACCCTGTATCTAGTCCCATGCTGAACCTGTTCTGGGAGTGTTTGATGGGGACAGTGTTTAGGGGGGCTTTACTTTCAGTTTAAAAGTATAGAGTAGGCTTTACTCTCTATCTAATCCTAGCCTGTACCTACCCCAAGAGTGTTTGATGGGGACAGCGTAGAGAGAGCTTTACTCTGTATCTAACTCCATGCTGTACTGTCCTGCGAATGTTTGATGGGGTCAGTGGAGAGGTAGCTTTATTCTCTGTCTAACCCCGTGCTCTATTTATCCCAGGACTATTTGATGAAAAATTATTGTGGGAGCTTTCAGTTTGAAAGAGTAGGGATGGAGTAGTCTACTCTTGATCATCAGTAGAATGTTGGAAAGGCCATCAACAGTGCCACAAAGTAGCATTTGCTCAGCAATAAACTGTTCATCTCACTTAGTTTGAGTTCTGCCAGGGCCACTCAGTTCCTGACCTCATCACAGACTTGGTTCAAACATGGACAAAAGAGCTGAATTCCAGAGGTGAGTTGAGAGTGACAGCCCTTGATCCCAAAGCTGCAGTTGACTAAGTAGCACCAAGGAAACCTAGTGAAACTCAAATTAGCAAAATTGTGGGGGGACACTCTCTCTTCCTCAGGGTAGTGGTGCCTGCCCTGCCATTTTCAGTTGCTTCATCAATGAACATCCCTCCATTGTAAGATCAGAAGTGGGGATGTTTGCTGATGGTTGCATTCATGGATCATCAAGTGCTGAAGGACTGCATATCCAAATGCAGCAGGACCTGGACAACGTCCAGGTTTGGGATGCAAAGTGGCAAATATTCCCGGGATGGCAAGACTGACATATGAGGAAAGACTGGGTTGACTGGGTTTGTACTCATTCGAATTTAGAAGAATTATTGGGGGATCTTGCGGCTAAGCTGATCAAGGGGTATGGAGAGAAATCGGGAATGGGTTACTGAACTCACATGATCAGCTAAGGTGGTGCAAGCTTGAAGGGCTGAATGGCCTACTCCTGCATCTATTTTTTATGTAAGTAATATTTGTACTACATTAGTTCCGGGCAATGACCATCTCCATCAGTGGGAACCTAACCATTGTCCCTTTCCATTCAGTGACATTACCATCACTGAATTCTCCTGCTATCAACATCCTAGGGTTTACCATTGACCAGAAATGGGACTGAGTTAGCGATATAAATATTGTGACTCCAAGACCAAGCCAGAGGCTAAGAATCCTGCAGGGAGTAACTCACCTCCCCATCTACAAGGTGGAAGTCAGGTGTGTGATGGAATACTCTTCACTTGCCTAGGTAAGAGCAACTCCAACAACACTGAAGAAGCTTAACACCATGCAGGACAAAGCACCCTGCTTGATTTGCGCCACGTCAACATCCACAAACATCTGATCCCTCCACCACTAACACTCAGTAATAGCACTGTGCATCGTCTGAATAAAGCGTTGCCAAAATTCACCAAGTCTGATTAGACAGCACCTTCCAAACAAAGAACTGCCATTTAGAAGAACAAGCGTAACAGATACTTAGGAACATCAGCATCTGGAAGTTCCCCTCCAAGCCCCTCACCATTCTGAGTTGGTAATAGGTCAATATTCCTTCAGTATTGCTGAGTCCTGGAGCTCCCTCCCACATCAAATGGATTGTAGGTGTAGACTGTAGCTCACCAGCACCATTCCGAGGGCAACTAGGGATGGGCTGTAACTACTGGCCCAGCTGGTGACACCCACGTCCCCAGTATAAATAAAACAAACCAGCTGGCATGAGATGAAACTAAGTCAGAGCCAGGATTTAACTTTAGGGAGGTGGTTCTCTGCCACTGTCTACCACACTGCCACACTTTCTAAGCAGTAATTCAGCGCTTTTGCACAGTGGATGATGCAGGTCAATTTTGGATAACACACAAAGGTCCAGAAAGAAGATGGGGGATTATCATACCTGAGTTGATAGGTTTGGGGAGTCCGTGATGCCTGAGCAGTGCGGCAGTGTGACATGTAAATCAGTTTCTTGGGGTGAAATCCATATTGGATCATAGCCCCTTCATCAGGTGAAGTGAGAGAGAAGCACAAAGACACAGAATTTATGGACAGAGAGAAAAGGGCAGAGAGATCAAAAGGTCACACAGATGGTGTGAGTGGAGTGTTGAATAATAACTCTCTGCAGGTGATCAAAAGTGTCAGATGCTGTGAGTAAAGTGTCAGCAGTTGAATAACAAGCGAAGGGATGACCTATAATCTGATTAAATGAGGCAGAGAGATAATTACAAAAAATTAAAAATAAGGTGGTGCTGGAGACAAACCAAACGGCTGGAATAACATGATAGGTATAAGAGTTTCATGCCGAGGGCCTAACCGAAGTAATAAATATTCCAAAACTGCACAAACTAATTAAGGTAGAGAGATCATAACAAGTTGTCATGGTGATGGTGTCAAAATAGGATAGTAAGGAAGATTTTACAGATACAGAACAGTGTGATGGGGTCACAAATAGCACGACATGAACCCAAGGTCACAGTTGAAGCCGTCCTCATTGGTATGGAACTTGGTTATCAGTCTCTGCTCGGCCATTCTGTGTTGTAGTATACCTTGAAAGTCGCCAATATGTGAATCCACCACACTATTCCATATCTGTAAAATCTTCCTTAACTCTCCTGTTTTGACAACATCACCTTGATAAATTATGATCTCTCCACCTTAATTGGTTTGTATAGTTTTAGATTATTTTTGACTTTGGTTAGATCCTTGGCATCCAACTCTTATTCCTATCATGTTATTCCAGTCATTTGGTTTGTCTCCTGCACCACCTTATTTTTCAATTCTTTTTGTAATTATCTCTCTGCCTCACTTAACCAGACGATAGGTCATCCCTCCGATTATTATTCAGCTATTGACACTTTACTCACAGCATCTGACACTTTTGATCAAATGGAGAGACTTAATATTCGACACTCCACTCACACCATTTGTATGATCTTTTGATCTTTTTACCTATAAATTCTGTGTCTGTGTGCTTCTCTCTCCCTTCACCTGATGAAGATTACAAAGGGAAAAAGAAAAGGCTTAGATTTATATAGCACCATTCAGGATTTCAGGACATCTCATGGCGCTGCATAGCCAGTGGAGTACTTTTTGAGTGTTGTAGCAGTGGCCCATGTTTGAAAGACACAAAATGGCCGACAAGAAATAAGCAAAATTAAACAGCCTACCCCAACATCAAAGTGAAACATAATGGTACCTTTGAACAGGACTACTCCAAGGTCAGCAAGGAGGCCCTACGAGCAACTATCCGAGACAGTTTGAAAACGGGATGCCTAAGGATAGACAAGTGATCGATTCAGCGTTATTAATGAAAGGATGTTGTCCCAATAAGTGAATAGCACCAAGGGTGTAAATCTCAGCCCACGAACCAGTCAGACTCTCAATGCAACTGTTAAAACAACAACTAAAGTTATTTTGTAGCAATTAGTTTTTTTGAAGTTACCCACAATATTAAGAAATAGGCCCTAGTTAAAGATTCTTCAGATAATCATAGGGGTAGGCTTCAACATAAGGACAGATAAACATATAATTAAAAGGATATTAGAAGCATTAGGAGAAAAACATTTAAACATGGATGTGAAAGTTAATTAGTCTCAGGAAATGCTTTCTCTTAAGATGCCTGGTAAGCCCTGAACGAAATACAGTGGTCACAACTTATTAATTACAAAGTGCTAACAGCTGAATTAGTTATATAACAGAAATTAATATTACAAATCTTATAGCAGTTAGTTAAAACTAATTGTCTTTTGTATTTTTACATATATAATTGTCACGGTAGGAAATACAGAAGGAATAGCTGAATTTGGTAAAGGTAGCACATGGAATACAATGAATAATAGAATTCAAGCAGCCCTGAGAGATAAGCAAATCTAGGACAGATCAGAAGGAATATAAATAGTAACTCTTGGAATGCAAATTAAAAGGATGCATAGAAAGATCCCAAGGCCTAGAGGATACAATATAAGATCATGGAAACATGTGGCTGTCCATAGGAATGCCCATGATTGATTAAGTGTCCCATGGGATTGCGTGTATGAATTAAGGGGGAAGGACAGTGAGTATGCTGTATTTGATTATTGTAACACAAAATGTACACAAATACTGTATTGCTCTGTAAAGATCAGAGTGTGTCATTGATCTCATTTCCGATCTGAGCCAAAGATAAAGAAAAAAATTGCTTTTCGCATTGAGGCCAGATTTGGGGAAGGTGCTTTGGCCTTCTCCCAGTCTTTGTCCCTGGTCGGAGGGTACGGTCCTACAAGTGTTGTAATGTAGATACAGTGGCAACGATGTGTGCACTGCAAAACCCCACAAAAAGCGATGTGATAATGACTGGATCTCTTTTTTAGTTCCTGGTTCAGGGATAAATATTGGCCAGAACACTGAGAGAGCACCTTCACTCCTTTTCATCTCTCCCTATGACATACCTGCTTGACAAGGTAGATGTGGTCTCAATTTAACATCATATCCTAAAGACAGCACCTCTGACTGTGCTGCACTCCCTCTGTACTACACTTCTGCAATTCCACCTGAATTTTATGCTCGAATTTCTGGAGTAGGATTTGAACCCAGAAAGCTGTGCCTCAGAGCAGGAATGATACCCACTGAGACACAGCTGGTCCCACCATCTTTCAGTGTTTTGACATTTTCCTTGCTCACGTCTAAAGGGTTTCTGGGAACTGACAGTATCTGTGGACCTGCCAAAGTTATATTGACTGTGTCTGTCTGTTGGTGCCTGTGTGTTTCAAATCACACCAGCTATCCAACACTTTAAATTAGTTAACTCACCACACTGCCAGGATTTACAAAGTGGGAGGAGTACGCAGTATGAAGCTGACTGCTTCCCTGATGGAATACCTGCAACCGAATGGTCCTCCTTGTCTGGGTGAACAGGTACCGTCATCTGCCAGCCAGAGTATGTTCCCTTGTGCTGTGCACCAACTCAGACTGAGCCGCCATTCTGAAATCTGCACACTCCACTTCATTCTTTTGGATATTAAATCATCACAGATCGTTCAGGCTTTTATGATAAGACTGTGATCTATCCTGTGGGGTTTTGCAGCACCCGGGTCTATGCCAGCATGAAGAACCCTGACCACAAGTGCCTGTACACCTGTCAAATCAAAGACGATGGGAGTGGACCACAGGTATTCAAACTATCTGAAGTCCAGTCTTTAAGATTATTGTTGGTGTCAAATGATGTGGATTCTGTCTTAGTGAAATACTTTGTAAAGTTTGAATCTGTATTTTATTGCAGGCTGGCCTTTCATACTGTGGGTGCCGTGTGAGAACACGGGGCGCCTTCTGTTAATCTGCATGTCCTGTAATGCATGTGTCTGTCATAATGTGGGTGTTCTGTAATGTTATGGTCGTTCTGTAAATAGGTGTCCCATCACAAGTTATTGCAGAAAGTGAAAACTCACAGTGTTGCGGTAAGATATTGGTACAGGTGGAAGATTGGTTTGCTAACAGGAAGCAGAGAGTAGGAATAGATTGATCTTTTTCAGGCTGGCAAGATGCCACAAGTGAGGGGTGCCACTGGATCAGTGCTTTACAACTTACAGAAATGATTTGAATGAAAGGACTGAAGAAATTGCTGCCAACTTTGCTGATGACACAAAGGTTGAAAAGTGAGTTGTGAAGAGAACATAAGGATTCTACAAAGTGATCTAGATAGGTTAAGTGAGGTGGGCAAATGAAGTATAAAGTGGGAAGGTGTGAAATTGTCCATTTTGACATAAAGAATAATAAAAAAAGCATATTATCTAAATTGTGAGTGTGCAGAGCTCTGCAATGCAAAGAGATCTGGGTGTCCTAGTGAATGAACCACAGAATGCAGGCACTGCAAATAATCAGGAAAGTTAATAGAATATCGAAAGGCAAAGAACTGTGTATGCCGAAAACTGGAACAGGAACAGAAATTGCCGGAGAAACTCAGCAGGTCTGCCAGCATCTGTGGAGTGAAAGCGCAGTGAATATTTCGGGTCCAGTTCTAAAGAAGGACCCAAAACTTTGGCTCTCCTGTCTCTCCCCAGATGGTGCCTGACCTGCTGAGGTTTACTAGCAATTTCTGTTTTTGAAGCTAATACATGTTATGGTTTATTGTGAGGCAAATTGAATGCTAGAATAGGAGGTTATGCTTTAGTTATACAGGGCATTGGTGAGACTGCATCTAGAGTACTGTGTACAGTACTGGTCACCATACTTATGGAAGGGTGTTAATGCATTGGAAGCAGTTCAGAGAAGGATTGCTAGTTAATACCTGAAATTATACCTCATATGAGGAAACCCTAGACAGGCTAGCCCTCTATCCTCAAGAGTTTAGAAGAGTTAGAGGTAACTTAATTGAAACCTAAGACCCTGAGGAGACTGGACTGGATGTTTCCTCTTGAAGGAGAATCTAGAACCAGGGTCATTTGTTTAAAAATAGAAGGGTCGCTCGCCTATTGCAGAGATGAGGAAAAACGTTTTATGTCAGCGGACTGTGAGTTTTTGGAATTTTCTTCTTCAAAAGGCAGCAGATGCAGAATCTTTAAATATTTTGAAGGCAGAGGCAAATAAATTCTTGATGACCTCTTGATAACCGAGGCGATGAAAGATTATCAGGGATATGCAGGAACGTAGAGTTGAGGGTAAAATCAGATCAACCATGATCTCATTGAAAGGTGGAGCAGGCTGGAAGGGTTGAGTTGCCTGGTCTTGTCTATATGTTCGTAATTGAGTGAGTGAAACTGGCAGATGGATTTAAGCACAGAGAAAATTGCAGTAATAGATTTTGAATTGAAGATAATAGATCTGAAAGTTATTTAGATAGTGAAAAGCTATGAGATTTGGGGAAAGGTGGAGATTTGGGGATCCATAGCACTGGTCATTGTAATAATCCGGTACAAAATATAAATGGAAGCTCAATAATTTGATAACCCCTGTAACTAGAGACCTAGAAGAGGAAGTTCAGTTTCATGGCGATATGGGTAGCAACTTGACACCTCACTGAGACAGTGTAGTCTGGAATATGTAAGAATGGAGCTGTCAACTGGAGACAAACACAGGCCTGCTGGGAATATCCCTCTGCGAACACAAGTCTGCTAGGAATGTCCTGCTAGGAACATGGGGATGCTGGGAATGTCCTGCTGGGAACACAGACCTGCTGGGAATATCCTGCTGGGAACGTGGGGCTGCTAGAAGTGTCCTGTTAGGGAACATGGGCTGCTGGAAGTGTCCTTTTAGATAACATGGGGTTACTGGCAGTGTTTCCCCTCATTTTCTTTCTGGCTGTGTGAGCCCCCAAGCACACAGCCACGCAGTTTATGGGAAATATTGGCAGCTGGCAGTGCCCTGCTGGGCATCAAGAGGCTTCTGGCAGTGTTGAGAGAGGCTGTGGGATTAAGGGGATGTGGGAGGGGCCTGCTGGCGCAGAACCATGCTTTCACCTTGTTTTCATTGTTCAAGAGATTATTGATATCTATCAGTTACCTCAGTCAAGGAATAATTCAAAATAGAATTGAAAGTGAAAACGAGTTATTTTTATCTTTTGTCCAATGTTAAGCGATCATCTCCAATATTCTACACATTTTGTCACAAGGAGCCACAGATATTGTGTCTCATGCACAGCTGGTGCGTCATGCTCCACACTTTATAACTCTTGGAAAAACAGAGAGCCATGGCTCTGAAGCTCCAACTAGTCTCGTGTGTATGGGAGACACAGTGAGAAAGATTGATGCAGGTAGGAGGAAAGAGATTGACTGAACGTTTGTGTTAACCAGTTTCAGATTGCTCCTGAAGTCGACCCTCAATGCACTCGTCACCACCTCTGCTTCAGCCTGTCACACCTGCTTGTTGGAAGTGATTGCCAAAGCTCGGTGAGTGTGGATTGCTCTACCTAGGGTCTGGGTGATGCAGTCGGTAATTACACAGCTCCAAGGTGCACAGTTTAATATGGTCAGAGACTGACGGGTTGGTTCTGTGACCAGTCTATAGGGACATTGGGCAACTGAACTGAAAAATCATTGCGAAACAGAGCGAGGTCTCTGATAGGAACCTTTCAGTAAGGGACTTGCTTCCTGTCACTTGATTCATTTAGTTTTTAACGCCAGTGCCTATTGAGATCTGCTTTATCTCTAAATGTGTTTCTGCTTTTCTGTCTCCACTCAGAGGAAAGCCATTCAGCAATGTAGTGCCATCTGGAGCTGATTTCTTTGGCTTTTCCCACCCCCACCATTCAGAATGTGATTCAGACCTGCCCTGTGCCAGGAAGTGTATCTGGTAAGGCTCCAAAACCAACAAAACCTCTCATTTGTGCAGCACCTTTAACATAGTAAATTTTCCAAGATGTTTCCCAGGAGATTCATCAGTCACCCATTGACAATGTGACCAAGAAGGAGATACTAGGGATGGGTGAAAAGCTTGCCTAGTTGGATCAGTTTGTAGTGTGAATTAAATAGGGATCAGAAAGGGAGAGTGTGTGAGAGAGGGCATTCCAGATCATTGGGCCTCAGCAGCTGAAGTTATGGCTGCCAGTGATAGAGCATTGAAACTTGGGGATACTGATGAGACCTGAATTGGAACACCATTATCTTGAAGGCTTGTGGAGTTCTGCAAGACGGTCCCAAAGAGGTGTGCCCGTAGAGATGAAAAGATGCAAATTGAAGAGTTGCTGGCCAGGGAACCTTTTTACTGAAGTCACTGTGAAAGATGAACGGGTCTTGACGAATGTCAGGACATGAACAGATGCCTGGGCAGCAGTATCTGAAGAGTGATATTTGGGAGGCCAACTAGAAGAGAACATGAGAAATAGGAGCAAGAAAAGGCCATTTCACCCAATCATGTCTTCTTCTTGAGTTGTTTGTTCAAAGGCAGGCCGTTGGTGATTATCTGTCAAACCACAAAAAAAGTGCTGTGAATTTTTTTCTGCAATATGGCAAGAAAACAGCAGCCCGAATCTATCTCAGCCAGAATAGAGATTGAACCCAGCACTGATGGCATTCACCCAATCCACACATGACCCATTTAGCTGAATAAGTGACCCAGCCCTCCCAACCCAAACATGACCTTACTATTATCTGAATGGCTCAATCACAAAATGTAACATTTATCATCTGCCACCCCCCTCAAAGCTAGGTCAACCTTACTGTCTCTGACTTCCCATGCAAAGACACCAGTCAGCTGGTAAACCATTATAATCCAGGAGCCTAGCCAAAGCAATCAAAGCATGGTGTCCTTGGGAGCCAACTAGTTTGTCTTGGCTCTCAGCACAACTGGGTCTCTGAGTTTCTGCTAAGGTGTTTAGCTTTTAGTTCTCATTCGGCAGGCTGCCTGTTTTTCTGCTCTGCTAGATTTCTGATGTTGGTTTCCTTTACACTATGTGGCCCCTTTTAAAACCTTTATTGCCAGAAACAGTTGGTAAATGAAAACCTGAACCTATTTCCCCATGAAGTCGTATCTCTGTTGCTTTTATCCAGAGTGTAGATTTCACCAGAGAGATTAGAAGTATAGTTCAGCGCACGATTCAATATAATATTGAAATTGAAGCTCTGTTACAGCTGTCATTGGATTTAACGTGCTTTGCATTTATTTGCAAAAAATCCTAAAATAGCTATCTCAGAGACATCTGGCTGTCAGCACAGCTACCCATCTCCTTTACCACTGGATAACATTGTTCAGATAATGCAGCTTTACACAGCCAATAGGAACCAGAATTTGCATGTATTAGAGATTACCTAAAATAACAAGGTGTAGATGGGATGAACACAGCAGGCCAAGCAGCATCAAAGGAGCAGGAAAGCAGATGTTTCGGGTCTATACCCTTCTTCAGAAATTCAGAAACTCTTTCTGAAGAACGGTCCAGACCCGAAACATCAGCCTTCCTGCTCTTCTGATGCTGCTTGGCCTGCTGCGTTCATCCAGCTCTACGCCTTGTTATCTCAGATTCTCCAGCATCGGCAGTTCCTACTATCTCTTAGAGATTACCTACATTACTTTCCCAGCATGACAGCCTAGCAGAACCAGGCAGTTTGAGTGATTGACCATGTAATGTCCATTACTGGGAGATTGTGTATAATCCGATTACTGTTGTTCATTCTCCATGTTGTTTCACTTATTGGGCTACCAATCTGGAACTGTACAGTGACTATTCTTAGACAGTTCCTTGTGATCAAGAATGACTTTGATCTACTTCAGCATTGCAGGTTCTGAGGTGACTGACCCAAAAGTCCAGTACTGGATCTGCACATCCTGCTGCAGTTTGGTCAAGGCGGCATTGGCTGAAGCAGGTTGGTGAGATGTTCGGGTTTTTGCATGCTCCTTCCCCTTTGTCCCGTTTCACCCCCCTCCCCACGGGCCTGTTGGGGAAGTTCAAAATGGCTGGCTCCTTCACAGAGGCTTCTTCTCCAGCTGGCTAGAGATTGATTTAGATGTACTGTTGGGCATATTTCATTTTTTAAAGGAGACTTTGAGGACATCGCTGAAGCATTCCTTCTGTCCTCCTGGTAACTATGGGCCATGATGAGGTTTGGATTACACAGAAACTAGAACAAAACAAAGGAGGAATGGACCTTTTGGCCCATCATATTATGCCGAACATGACACCAAATTAAACTAATCTCTTCTGCCTGCCCTTGATCCATATCCCTCCATGCCTGGCATATTTATGTGCTTATCTAAAAGTCTCTTAAATGCCCCTATTGTAACTGCCTCCACCACCACCCCAGTGGCTAAAGGGCCTCTGCAATTTCTTCCCTAGACTCCCACAACATCCAAGGATGGACTTGATTAGGCCCAGAGGTTTAATCCACCTTAATGTGCTTTAAGGCTGCAAACACCTCATAGATCATAGATCATAGAATCCTTACAGGCCCAACAAGTCCACACCGACCCTTGGAGCATCCCACCCAGACCCATCCCCCTATAACCCACCTAATCTACACATCCCTGAACACGACGGGCAATTTAGCATGGCCAATCCACCTAGCCTGCATATCTTTGGACTGCAGAAGGAAACCAGAGCACCCAGAGGAAACCCTTGCAGACACAGAGAGAACGTGCAAACTTCACACAGACAGCTGCCCGAGGGTGGAATCGAACCCAGGTCCCTGGCACTGTGAGGCAGCAGTGCTAACATACTGACAATACGTATGTGGTCCAAAACATGCTCGCTTGTCTCCCTTATTTCCTTAGCATCCATGATTGTCTTCTCAGTAAACATTGAGGAGAAATATTCATTAAAAATCTCCCTCTCCACCTCCTGTGGCTCCACACACAGACGGCCATGCTGATCTTTAAGGGGACCTATTCTCTCCCTAGCAACCCTTTTACTCTTAATATAGCTATTGAACCTCTTGGGATTATCTTTAACCTTATCTGCCAGATCCATCTCATACCCTCTTATTGCTCTTCTGATTTCCTTCTTAAGTGCAGTCCTAGACGTTTTATAGTCATCTGGGGATTCACTTGAGCTCAATAGCTTAAAACCAATGTGTGCCTTCTTCTTTTCCTGACCAGAGCCTCAATAACCCTTGTCGGGCCAGGGATCCTGAAACCTGCCAGCTTTTCCCTTCACCCTTATAGAGACACTCTGTCCCTGGACTCTTGATATCACAACTTTAAAAGCCTTCCATTTGCCAGTCATTCCTTTTCCTTCAAACAGACTCACCCAATCGACCGCTGCTAGATCCTGTTTAATGGCCCAAAAATTGGTCCTGCTCCAGTTTAGCACCTTACCCTATGGACCTGTCCTATCTTTTACCATAACTATGTTAGAACTAAGAGAGTTATGGTCACTGGACCCAAAGTGCTCTCTGACTGCCCTCGTTCCTAAGAGGATGTCCAGTGTTGCACCATCCCAAGTAGGGCCCTCTACATAGTGATTTAGGAAATTTTCTTGGACACATTTCACAAAATCCACCCCGTCTGGGCCTTATAAACCCTGGGTGGCCCAGTCAATACAGGGGAAATTAAAATCTCCAACTAATACTACTCTATAATTCCTACAGGTATCTCTCAACACATCTGCTCCTCTCGTACCCGCTGGCTATTTGAGGGTCTATAATACAGTCCCAACAAAGTGACCATCCCCTTCTTGTTTCTAAGTTCTAACCATATGGCCTCATTTGATGATCGCTTAAAAATATCCTCTCTAAACACGGTTGTTTTGTGCTCCCATATCAAAAGGGCAACACCTCCTCCTCATTTACTTGTACTTCTGTCATGCCTGTAGCTTCTGTATCTAGGAACATTGAGCTGCCAGTCTTGCCCTTCTCTCAGCCATGTTTCTGTTATGGCTATAATACCCCTGTCCCCAGAGCCAATCCATGCTCTGAGTTCATCTGCCTTACCAGTCAGGCCTCATGCATTGAAATAAATGCTGTTTAAACCAGCCTGTAGTTCTCTGGCTTGCCTTTGCTACCTTTCTTAAACAATAGAACAACATTAGCCACCCTTCAGTCTTCTGGAACTTCTCCAGTGGCTAAAGATGAAGCAAGAATCTCTGCAAGGTCTAACCCTAAGTCTCCCTTGACTGTGCCCCTGGCTATCCTAAATAGTAAACTTGCTCTCGATGGCTAATGTATTTTCCCCTGACTTCCCAATGGTCCCTCTCTTATTTAGAGTCTAGGTTCCCTCTGACATGCTAAACAGTTGTGATGACTATGGCGATGTCTCCCAGATTTCTGCTGTGATGACTCTCAACCGCCCTCTGATTCACCACTTTGATCATTTTCTTCCCTCTTCCAGTAAAGGCAGTACAAGTTCCACTGGTGTCCCCAAGTTCAGTGTGTGAGTCTCTGAAAAGCCTTGCTTAGGCTCGGAGCTGTACTGAACCTAACGGGAAATGTTTTCATTCATTATAGGGAATTGGATGTCTCTGGCTGGGCCGCCTTTTATTGCCACCCCTAAATGCCATTGAGTGGGTGGTGAGTGGTCATCTTGAACCCGTGCAATCCATTTGTTGAGGGGACACCTACAATCCCATTAGGAAGGGAATTCCAGGTTTTTGACTCAGTGACAGTGAAAGAACTGCGCTATATTTCCAAGTCAGGATGGTGAGTGGCTTGGAGGAGAACTTGCAGGTGGTGGTGTTCCTATGTATCTGCTGCCCTTGTCCTTCTAGTTAGTAGTAGTCACAGGTTTAGAACGTGCCATCAGAGGGGCCTTGACTGAAGTGCATGATGTAAATGATGCACAGTGCTTTGAATGTGTATTAGTAGTGAGGATTGGTGACTGTTGAAGGTAGAGTATGTGGTATCAGTCTAGCAGGTGGCTTCATTCTGGATAGTGTCAAGCTTGTGGACTGTTCTTGGAGCTGCACCCATCCAGGCAGGTGGGGAGTATTCCATCACACTCCTGAGTTTTCCCTTGTAGATCACAGACTATGGGGTCAGTCTTTGGCAGTTAGGAAATATGTTATGCATTGCAGTTTGCCTAACCTATGACCTTCTCTTATAGCCACTGTATTGATATGGGTAATTAATAGAACATAGAACATAGAACAGTACAGCACAGTACAGGCCCTTCGGCCCACGATGTTGTGCCAAACTTTTACCCTAAACCTAAGGTCTATCTAACCTCCACTGCTACCTTATACTATCATCCATATGCCTATCTAATAGCTGCTTAAATGCCCCTAATGAGGCCGACTCCACTACCCTCTCTGGTAATGCATTCCACGCCCCTACCACTCTCTGAATTAAGTTCAGTTTCTGATCGATGTTAACCTTGCAAATGTTGACAGTTAAGGATTCAGCAATCATAATGTACCTGAATGCCATGGGATGATGATTTAATTCTCTCTTTTTAGAAATGGTCATTGCTGACATTCATGTGGAGTGAATTTGTGACTTACCAGCCCAAACCTGAATATTGTCCAGATCTTGCTGCATCTGCTCACAGATTACTTCAGCATCTCAGGTGTCGTAAATATTGCTGAACATTGTGCAATCGTAAGTGAAAACCCCACTTCTGAGCTTTTGATGGAAGGAAGGTCATTGATGATGCAATTGACGATGTTTGGGCCAAGGACACAATCCTCAGGATCTCCTGGAGTGTCCTGACACTGAGGTGATTGACTTCTAATAATCACAAGCATCTCCCTTTGCATGAAATTTAATGCCAACCAGTGGAGAAATTCCCTTTGATTCCTATTGACTCCAGTTTGGTTACGGCCTTTGGTACCACACTTGATTAAATGCTGCCTTGATGTCAAGGGTAGTCACTCCCACTTTATCTCTGCACTTTATTCTTTATGAACCAAGGCTATAATGAGGTCAGGAGCTGAATGGTTCTGGTAAAACCCAAACTGAGCATTAGTAAACAGATTATTGCCATTGATAGCCATGCCAATGACCACTTCCATGACTTTGCTAATGACCAAGAGTAGACTGATGGGATGATAATTGACTGGGTTGGATTTGTTCTTTATGTGAACATGATATATCTGGACAATTTTCCACATTGTCAGCTAAACACCAGTGCTGTAACTGTACTGAACCAGCTTGGCTAGTTCTGGAGCACAAGATTTTAGTACTATTGCTGAATGTTTGCAAAGGTTATGGGCTCTGACATGCCCAGTGCCTCTAACCGTTTCTTAACATGAGTCTTCACATGGAGTGAATTGGATTGGCTGAAAACTGGCATCTGTAATGCTGGGGACCTGGGAATGAGCTAGGATAGCCCATCCACTTGGCATCTCTGGAGGAATAGGGTGATTTGTGGAACATCCTCCTTCAATGAGTTGCTTAATTATTCATCAGGATTCCCAACTGGATGTGGCAGGAGTGCAGAGTTTAGATGTGATCTTATTGTTGTGGAATTGCTTTTGCTCTGACTCTCACTTACTGCTTATACTGTTTTTATTCATTCACAGAATGAGGGTGTTGCCATTTGGGCCAGTATTTATTGCCCATCCCTAATTGTCCAGTAGGCAGATAAAAGCCCAACCACATTGCTGTGGGTCTGGAGGACAATAGTGAACCAGATGAGTTTTTCTATCAATCCACAGTGGGTTTATGGTCATTGTTAGACTCCTAATTCCAGATTTTTATTAAATTCAAATTCCACAGTCTGCCATGGCCAGGATTCAAATTTGAATCCCTTGAACAATACCTGGGTCTCTAGATTAACAATCCAACAATAATACCACTAGACCGTCTCCTCCGCTTGGCATGCAAGCAATCCTGTTTGATAGCTTCACCAGGCTGACACCTCAATTTTAGGTATGATGATATTGCCCTTGCATTCTCCATTTGAACTAGGTTTGATACCCTGGCTTGATGGTAATGGTTGAATGGGGGATATACTGGGCCACGAGGTTGCAGATTATATTGGAGTATGATTCTGCAGCTGTTGATGGCTCACAACACCTCATGGATACTATAGTTTTGAGTTGCTAGATCTGTCTGAAATCTATCCCATCTAGCGGAGTGTTAGTGCCACACAATATGGTGGTGGGTATTCTTAATGTGAAGGCAGAACTTCATCTCCACAAAGTCTGTGGTATGGTCACTCCCTATGATACTGTTAGGGATGAATGCTTTTGTTACAGGTAGATTGGTGAAGAGGAGGTTAAGTCTGGTTTTTCCTTTTCTTGCTTTACTCACCACATGCTGTGGTCCCAGCTGAGCAGCTGTCTTCTTTAGGACATAACCAGTTTGGTCAGTAATCATAGAAACCCTATAGTGTGGAAACAGACCATTCAGCCCAACACATCCACACTGTCCCTCTAAAGAGGATCCCACCCTGACCCACTCCTCTACCCCTACCCCTACATTTCCCTTGTCTAACCCTCCCAACCTAAACACCCCTGGGCACAATGGGCAATTTAGCATGGCCAATCCACCTAGCCTGCACATTTTTGGACTGTGGGAGGAAACCGGAGCACCCGGAGGAAACCCACGCAGACACGGGGAGAATGTGCAAACTCCACACAGACAGTCGCCTGAGACTGGAATCGAACCCAGGTCCCTAGCACAGTGAGGCAGCAGTGCTAACCACTGCGCCACCATGCTGCCCCTACAGATTTATAAGTAGATGTGCTATTGAGCCACTTTTGGTGATAGACATTGAAGTCCCCTAGCCAGAGTACATTCTGCGCTCTCACCACCATCAATGTTTCATCCAAATGGTGTTCCGCATGGAGAAAGGTGTTGAATAGATGTGGTAATCCGCAGGAGGTTTCCGTGCCTATATTTGAGTGAAACCATGAGACTTTGTAGAGTCCTGGAATCAATGTTAAGGATTCTCAGGGCATGCTTCTCCTGACTATGGATCTGTCCAGCCAATGGTTCAGGACTTTGTAAGGTCAACAGAACTGTTGCTGTTGTTGTTTCCGGTGTTTAGGCCAATGCTAGGTGGTTGGTGCAGTTTAGTTTCTTTCTAAGCACTTTGTACTGGCTTTGGTATACATTAGTGCCTTCCTAGACCATTTCAGATGGAAGTTAAAAGTCAACCATATTTTCTGTGGGTCAGGAGCCACAGGTCGGACAGATCAGATAAGGATGGCAAATTTCTTCCCTAAAGGAAATTAGTGAAGCGATGTGTCTTTAGGACAGTTGACAGAGTTACAGGGTCATCATTAAGCTAGATTTTCCAGACGGTTCCCGAATTCAAATTTCATCATTTGTCATGGTGAGATTTGAACCCATGTCCCCAGAGATTAACCTCAGGTTCTGGATTACTAATGTTGACATTAGCATAATGGAGTCTAATGAGAATAAATAACAATTATAAAACAATTATAAATGATAATATCAGTCATAGTATAACACGAAAGAAGACAATTGAAAGAAAAAAATAACTATTGAAAGGGAGGAACGTATGGGACATAGAATAGTAAACAGTTACTAATTCATATATTTCAGTTAACATTTAAAGCAGGTTTTAAAAATGCTGCAGAAAAGTGACTTAATCTTGGAAATGCATTAGCAATGTTTGAGGATATTATGTAAGACATTGCCACAGTTGTTCCTGTAGATTTATTCAATGCCCTTTTTTTATCTTTGATGAGTATATTTTAAACTGAAAGAAAGACATCAGTGTTTTTGTTTTAGTAACACACTTGTTAATGTTTAAATGATTACCTGATATAATCTCAATAGTTTAAATGGGTACTTTCCAAAATTATATTTACATCCCTGATATATATCAGAAGAAAGAAAGAAATGCAGCTTTATTACATCACAACTGTTAACCCCAATTGGTCTGTCCATGCCAAAGTAACTTCAAATTACAGTAAAATGTCCTTTGGTATATAAACACCAAGTCTCCAAATAGCATGAGTGAAATCTCTGGTCAGTCACTTTGTACATGTCCCTTCTCTCCATAATCCTCAGTGATTGACTGTTGACCACTCAACTGCATTATTAAATTCTGGAAGCCACCTGCCTTTAAGCCAAATTTCTGGCTCCATTCCAACCTTTTAAGGCTTACACACAGGGTTTCTCAAAACAAAAGGACTGAACAAAATTAAGTTGTTCTCTCACCCTGGATGAAGTCTCTCAAAATGTATACTGGCCATCAGCTGAGATCCATTCATTGAACACCTCATTCTGGCATGTAGTTCAATGGACATTGGGGTCAGTACAGTAAGGATAATTCCTCTCTTTAAGCAATGAGAGAACAACTTGGGTGTAAATGTCTGATGGGCAAACAACATCCAGTTAAAACATGCTGGGGTATTCTTGGGAATGGGACCAAAATCTAGAAAATGCTGCCATCAATCACATAATCGATTAATTTTTACTACTTCAAATTACTCTTGGTGTAAATTTAAGTTTACAGAGTAAGAATTCAGTTCAGGTTTACTTAAAAATTAAAAGTGAAGCCCAAATCGGATATAAAAGATTATAAAAGATTGCAAAATTAGTGATGTTGAAAACCCTAAAGTACTTTACTCAACCGACAAAAAGAGATGGGAACTTTAGCTGGGCAGTTGATTCATGCAGAGCATCATCACACTGACACTCCCTGAGCCAACATTATGCAAGCTTTGCATCATGGATTGAAGCATTACAGCGGCTAATGAACCCTACCTGAGGTCCTGTCCATACAGCAAGACTAGTGGATGGACCCAGCCTTCACTGACCCTTCATCAGAGAGTGACTGACCCAGCTTACACTGACCCTCCATCCAGGGAGTGACTGACCCATCTCACAC